GAAAGGTCTACTCTTTTTTCAAATTCCGATTGTCAAGGGTTCTTTTGCGTGCACGCCAATGTGTACACGGGACCTCGTCTTTTCGTCCCATCCGAACGACTGTTCGTTTCTCCTTGCCAGACCTACCTTAGATAACCTCCGTAATTGCTGATGGAAAGGAAATAAAATGAAACGGAATGGGGTTTAACGTCCTACTGTTCTGCTCCTAAACTGGGCTAATAAAGACGGGCATACGCCATACAGTGTGCTATGAGGGAAATTTTGCTCGGACAGCGGCGCTACGGCCTACTCTTATATCGAATTCCAACTGCCACGGGATCTTTTACGTGCACGCCAATATGTACACGGGACATCGGGGTTTCGTTCCATCTGACGGAAAGGTCGATTGGTGATATATATAATAACTTTCCTATATCAGGTAGACTATATTGGTTATATAAATGTATTAATTGTTCTGTATATTATATCAGGTAGACTATATTGGTTATATATTAATTGTTCTGTATAATATATTAGAAATGTATGAAGATCTAGACCGTGATACAAGACTCGAACCACATCAATCTGTTTATCAAGGATTTCCTAAATATATTAACCAACGAACTAAGTCTAGTAATCAAACATACGACGGAAGCAGAAGATCCACTAACGAAGGTCGGTATAGTACAATCAAATTAATGTTAAACTTACATTATACAAGAGGTAAATCTGCCTATCGCATGTGTTTCTTTGGGCCTAAAATGTTATATAAACTATTAAAGATACATTATGGGAGATTAGATAACGAGATGGCAGTTCTCACTATAATTGTTAACAACTAGATAATGTAAAGGCAATTTGCTGAAAATTCCAGTCAAATTGATCCACTATGAACCGAGAAATAAGCGATCGAAATTTCCGCATAGCCTCGGTCATCATTACTAAAGTCGGTACGACAAAAATCATAGTCTCGATTATTCATTTAATCAGCATGTCATCTTATGTGCCGGATTTTTACTGGATTTGAATAGGATTTACTGCTCAACGCTCATAGATGATTTAATCTAAAAATGGATAATAGAGACTATGTTTTATATCGTACCGACTTTAGTAATAATGATCAAGGCTGGGTCTAAATTTCAAAGGTTAATATCTCGGTTCGCAGTGGAGCAATTGGACTCACATTTTCCACATATTCCCTTTACATTTTCTAATTTTTAACTATTATAATGAAAACTGTCAGCTCTTTATTCAATCTTCCGTAATGTATCTTTAAGCAGCAATAGCAAAAAACGATTTTTATGGTAAATAATCACTGGTTTATTCTAAAAGCAACTCGTTTCAAAAAGTATCCTCTTATCGTTATCAAGCAGCAATCTTTAGTATCATTTCTTGAAGGTTTTAATTTATTATATCATCATCATCATCATCATCATCATCGTCGTCGTCATTGTCATCGCTATCGTCATCATCCATCCTCATCATCATCATCATCATTATTATTATCATTATATTGTTCTGTTTCAGATTCAATCTACGTGAATGACAGTATGATACGATAGAACCACCCGGGAACAGTACAACCAGCCCCAGAGATGGTAACAGTCGACCCCCAGATCCACTCACTGTGTTTGATGGTTCTATTATAGCTTACAATGTCCGTGTTGTGATTATACGTGGTTCGACCTCATCACACCTTATATTTACTTTATCATCAGCATACAAAAATATCTAGAACATGTGCTGAAACTATTCATTTATGTTGTGTGTTTAAATAGTTAAGGATTAACAGCCAACACAATGTTTTGATGATTATGCGCGGTTCGGCCTCGCCTCGCCTTTTATTTAACTATAGCATCGAACAAAATGTGAAATATATAATCTTTATTTTAGGTAATAAAATTGATATCAATTGTGTCCATTTCTTTCAGCCATACATTTCAACGTCTGTCGAACCTGGTGGGTTTTCTCCGGGTGCACCGGTTTTCCCCCACTGCTAAAGATTCCCTACGCGCAAGCGAATTATTGAACCATGTGTTAGTTCCGATATGACCTAGTTTGTGTTGAGTGAACGTTAAACCCATCTCTCTCTCTCTCTCTCTCTCTCTCTCTCTCTCTCTCATGAGTTTCCCCGCCCGGCGTTAGACCTAGTTTGTGTGTCGAGTGGACGTTAAACTCTCTCTCTCTCTCTCGTGAGTTTCCCCGCCCGGCGTTAGACCTAGTTTTTGTGTCGAGTGGACGTTAAACTCTCTCTCTCTCTCTCGTGAGTTTCCCCGCCCGGCGTTAGACCTAGTTTTTGTGTCGAGTGGACGTTAAACTCTCTCTCTCTCATGAGTTTCCCCGCCCGGCGTTAGACCTAGTTTTTGTGTCGAGTGGACGTTAAACTCTCTCTCTCTCTCTCGTGAGTTTCCCCGCCCGGCGTTAGACCTAGTTTTTGTGTCGAGTGGACGTTAAACTCTCTCTCTCTCTCTCGTGAGTTTCCCCGCCCGGCGTTAGACCTAGTTTTTGTGTCGAGTGGACGTTAAACTCTCTCTCTCTCTCTCTCTCTCTCTCTCTCCAACCCCGAGAGTTTCCACGGCCGGCGTTAAATCATCGGGTATGTCTCTCTCTCTCTCTCTCTCTCTCTCTCTCTCTCTCTCTCTCTCGTGAGTTTCCCCGCCCGGCGTTAAATCATCGGGTATGTCCCTGAACCATGGGCGAATTAATGAACCATAATGTGTTGATCCCGAAATGACCTAGTCTCTCTCTCTCTCTGAGTCGATATACAGGACTCGTGAGCAAGTCAAACAACATCCTGGTCAATCTGACTTCACTGGATGTTGTTAATAAGTTGCAAGTCATCTGTATAAAAGTATCTCAGCAGATATATATCTAATTATGTATGCCCTGAATATAGAGTGTGATCTTATTACCGCTGTGTTATAATATATAAACGGAAATGTCTTCAAGTGGTGTACTCAAATTCGTTCAGTTTGGTATTTGAGAGAGCTAGAAAGAGAGAGGTTAGTTGATCAACACGATCGGAAATATCACCAGACGAGTCACATCCACTGTAGGTTAAATACAACAGCACAATAGAAAGATTGTTGACACATCAAACGTCCACTAGATAGAAATCAGATAGTTTCGAGACTAACATATGCTTCGATCTTATTTCAATAATTCGCTTGCTTGTAGGGTTCTGTAGTAGTGGCAGGAACTGGGAAAAACCCACGCAGGCTGGACATCCGTCCCATTCGAATGGCTAGGTCTTCCGTTATGTACGGGGATCACGTGGCTAAGTGGGTAAGACGCTAGCTCGCTAGCCTGGAGGTCGGGTGTTCGATCCCTGCATTGGCCGAGAAAGTTCACCCAGATTTTCCGGCGTGGTTCTCCCTTGTCAGTGATGCAGGACGGAGGGGCTGACAAGGAAAGCTGTCTAGTCGTTCGGATGGGAAGAAAAACCGAGATCCTGCGTACACATTGGCGTGCACGTAAAAGATCCCTTGGGAGTTGGAATTCGATATAAGAGTAGGCCGTAGTGCCGCTGTCCGGGCAAAATTTCCCTCATAGCACACTGTATGGCGTATGCCCGTCTTCATTAGCCCAGGTTAGGAGCAGAACAGTAGGACGTTAAACTCCATTTCATTTCATTTCATTTCCGTTATGTACAACTGACAAGGGGACACCATGGTGGAAAATACTCGGTGATACTCCATACCCTAGTGCCATACCCTCGGAGCCACCGGGGATCTTTGTCGATCGACTTAGGTATCGAACCATGCCGCCTGGTTCGTGAGCTAGTGTCATACTCTCTGAGCCACCGCGGCTCACGCCGTCATTATGTAAATGGGATGTGTAGTGGTTGAATGGTTTAACGCGTGTGTGTGATGTCATAGGGTCTGTCATTGAGTTAAGTGGAGTGGTTTCGATTCCCGGCTTGTACGTGTCCAGCCTCACGGGTTTCTCTGGGTCCCTTACACAACCGAAAAGAACATTAAGGAAACATATGTTAGTCCCGAAATGACCCCATTTCTATCGCGTATGCATGATATTTATAATGGAAGACCACTAATAGCTAACTATAAGACCTTATGATGTAAATGCTTCTTCCTTGGACAATTTTCACATCGACTGCCGGAATTCAATTTTTGATATGACGTCAATATTCCAAGATGGTGGCGATAACGTCATGCCCGCGCAGCACAGCAGGACGTTCAAACCAATGTCAATTCATTAGACTATTTTGTACTATTGATACAGCTGTATCATAATTGAACTTTCAGTTAATTTCGCCCACAAACTACGTCATTTCGGGACAAACATGTTTCAATATTTCGCTTGCGCGTAGGGTTTTTCAGGAGATCTTCTGTTCGATCCCTATGTCGGTCGACATAGATCCTCGGTTATTTTCCACCATGATGTCTTCTTTTCAGTGGAAGATCTAGTCATTCGGAAAGAATGAAAAGGTCCCGATGCACGTAAAAGAACGCTTGTCAGTTGGAATTCGATAACAGAGTAGGACGCGCTCCATCTCCACATATGTAGTATCAATTTAATCAGCATGATCCTGTGAATGTTTTAGGCCATTGAATTTGGGCCCTGGGCGAATTTGGGCCTCGGGCGAATTTGGGTCTCGGACGAAATTGGGCCCTAGCGAATTGGGCCCTGGATGAATTTTCGCCCCTGGCGAATTGGACCTTGTTCGAATTTGGAGCCTGGACGAAGCCGGGTATTCTGCTAGTATTATAATATACCTTGTCAAAACTTCAAACATACATAACTTTACTCAGAATAAACGTTGAATACCATTCCTTTTCTTATAGCACGAACGGACAACTTAAAATAACTTGGATTGTAACATCCTACACAAACCAGTGAGAACGGACATCTCTTTATCTAAATCTAACCTAATGCATCTTGAATACAACTAAAAATAAAATAGAGTATAACATCTTACATAAACCACGCCAGTGAGAACATCCTATACTACCTAATCAAGTTAAATACTTCACAATCAACCCGGATGCTATATCACTGTTATTAGTCATTCTTCTCACTTATATATCGTAATAATAATAGTTTATTATACACCAGTAGAAATATATTCTTCGCTGGATGTTTGTGATACGTCTTGTTAGTTCTATCTATGTTCTGATGTACAGTTCTCCATCATAGTCCAATTGGATGTATTAGACTCATTATATCAAAAGAAATATATTTTTCCCTGGATGTTTTTATCTTATGCTGTGTGACATGTATTGTTAGTTCTTTCTATGTTCTGGTGTGCAGTTCTCCACCATGATCCAGTTTGATATATTTGACTAGCTGTATTAAATTAAGCAGCTTTATCTCTGGGAGTATATGAAACAAGAACTGTGGTTTAATTTAACTGGCTGTATTAAATGAAAAAGATAAATTATTTCTCCAGGAGTATATATTGTTGTTGTTAGTTCTGTCTATGTTCTGTTATGCAGTTCTCCACCATGATTCATCCTATATAACGGAAACTATGGTTCATTAAATGAATTGGAATTTTCTGTGGGAGTATATATTGGTATATGCTGTCTACCTAAGATCGTTCAGTTTTCCACCATTGTTGACTGCAACTGTGGTTTAATCAACTCGCCGTATTAAATAAACTAGATTGTTCATTGAGAGGATATATCGACGTGTGCTGTCTACCTATGATTGTGTATTGTTTGTTTTTTCTACGTTTTATTGTGCAGTTTTCCATCATTGCTGACTGAATCTGTGGTTTAATTGATTATAAATACTGATAATGGCGAGATATTTTACTATTCAACTGACTGTATTAACCGTACTGGTTACTAATAGTTACGGTATGTATACAATTCACCTTTATGGGGTTCTGTGGGGTTGGAACTAAATAACATGACATGGGGTTTAACGTCCTACTGTTCTGCACAAAATGGACTTATTTTTGCTTGATAAAGACCAATTAGGAAGCTTCTAGAGTCGAAACGTCGCTATACAGAAATTTTTCTCCATTTTATAAATATTCAAGAAAATTAAATCAACACAACTTCCGTGTATTAGTCTAACTAATATTTGATCTTTATGTTGTCTCGGTTAATAAAGGGTCGCCTGTCCAACCTCGTGGGTTTTATCCGGGTCCTCCGGTTTCCTCCCACTGCTAAAGACCCCTACGCGCAAGCGAATTATGTAAATAAAATTAAACCGTATGTTAGTCCCGAAATGACCTAGTTTGTGTCGAGTGGACGTTAAACCCCATCTCTCTCTCTCTCTCTCTCTCTCTCTCTCTCTCTCGGTTAATAACTCCCATACCGATCTAAGAACCCCAACCCTACCCCTACCACAGACTACAGTATAGCAACGAACACAGGACATTTTATCCAGTCTGTCAGTTACGACGAAGACAATTTCAGATCATATATAACGTAGTGTTCTCGTGGAAACTTTTCTTAACCATAATGTGTAATATAACCTCTGACCCCCGGTTTGATGATAGTATACCCGGCCAATATCACCATATCGACCAAACTGGTATATCGTAGCGATTCTGACTGGCTAACATTCTCACATTTGTTCGTCCAAAACATCCCTGCTATCATACCATGGCATCGATTTTTAGCATACAACAGCATTGCTGTCGTCGCTTGGCATTGCTATCACCCCGTGGCATCGATTTTAGAATACAACAGCATTGCTGTCATTCCTCGGCATCGATTTTAGCACACAACAGGGGAAATCTGTATGAATGATATTTATAATTTAAAACCACCAAAAGCTAACAATGGACTAATAAACACGGGATGGGGTGTGTTTAACGCGTGCGCATTGGATCATAAGGCCGGACATTGAATCAAGTGGCGTGTTGTCGATTTCCCGCCTGTACGTGGCAAGGAATAGGGTCGCCTGTCATACCTCGTAGGTTTTCTCCGGGTCCCCCGGTTTCCTCCCACTGCTAAAGACCCCTATGCGCAAGCGAATGATTGAAATAAAATTGAACCATGTGTTGGTCCCGAAATTACCTAGTTTGTGTCGAGTAGACGTTAAACCCCATTTCTCTCTCTCCCTCTTGTTCAGTCGCAATTTCGGGACATTATCTTGCACGATTTGATATTATTTTTTACTAAGTTGGCTACTCAGGCAATAGTGTCTGCATTGGCCGAGAAAGTTCATTCATATTTTCCGGCGTGGTTCCCCCTTGTCAGTGATGCAGGACGGAGGGCCTGACAAGGACAGCTGTCTAGGCATTCGGATGATACGAAAAACCGAAGTCCCGTGTACACATTGGCGTGCACGTAAAAAATGATCCCTTGACAGTTGGAATTCGATATAAGAGTAGGCCGTAGTGCCGCTGCCCGGGCAAACTTTCCCTCATAGCACACTGTATGGCGTATGGGCGTATGCCCGTCGTCATTAACCAAGTTCAGAGCAAAACAGTAGGACGTTAAACCCCATTTCATTTCATTTATCTCTAAAATAACATGGTGTGTAGTAGAGTCAACATGTCAAGTACCCACTGTCTAACCTTGTTAATACAGGATGTATTTATACATTTATACACAGTGACATATTGTATAGTCTATATAGAGACTTCATCATGACAGTATTATCACACATACAACACAAACCACGTCACGTATAAAGGCCAGGGGTAGGGTGGGGTGGGCTGTGTTGTTGGGGTGGTGATGGCCGAATGGTTAGCACTTGCGCGCTGTACCATAAGGCCTGCCATTGAGTCAACTGGTGCGGTTTCGAATCCCCGGTTGTACGTGACAAGGAGTAGTATCGCCTGGCCAACCTCGTGGGTTTTCTCCGGGTCCTCCGGTCCCCCCCACTACTAAAGACCCCTAGCGCAAGCGAATTATTGAAATAAAATTAAACCATATGACCTAGTTTGTGTCAAATGGACTTTAAACTCTCTCTCTCTCTCTCTCTCTCTCTCTCTCTCTCTCTCTCCCCCTCTCTCTCTCTCTCTAAAGGTCATACATCATGTATCTCAGGATTGGCATCTCACAACGTTGCATATAGAGGCATCAATATGTTCTGTATACGACATACGCCACATCATGTAGAGGCGCCAATATGTTCTGTACACGACACAGACTACTTCATGGGGCATGTTATATACAATATGTTTTATTCATTTTATATTTCAGGACAGGTATATAACAACATTGCGTGTAACGGCGTCAACACGTCCTGTGCACAACACAATCTATGGTGTCGTAACGAGGGCGCATTGGTGATAAAGAGAGCACAATATGGCTATGTTGTACCACAAGCACATTGTGTGTCAGTTAACACAACTTGTACGAACTCGAATTCATGTTGTCGGTACGACAGGTCGGACTGTTTGGTCGACTTTAATGCTAGTGAAATGTCGGATATATATAAATGCAGTGGATTGTCAGGCTGTAAAATTCTGCCCCCACCAAGAGGTGTGGCTAGTAATTGTAGTGATGATAAAGACTACACGTATTCCCGGATTCAACACGGATGCAGCAATGGTAAATATAAATATGTTATGAATAAATAAAATAGGGTTTCACGTCCTGATAGATATATTCGCTGTTAATCTTGTAGAGGCTTTTAGTAACTGGATAGCGGACAATCTGATTAATACACAGATCCTATTTCGTTTCGGTTTTTTTTACAGTTCCAAATTTCGTTTTACTTGTCTTTACTACACTAGGATCTGGAATAGTTGTTATATAACCTGTGTTCTGGCGGATGTGAGGGATTAGCCCTTAGAAACGTTCTGTTGGGGCGAGTTTAAATCGTGAATTGGTGATTGGTTAATCAAATGCCTGACGCGACAGGGTGAAAAGTCGTTCGTATAACCCTTGACGCGATCTCCCACTACAACCGGTCAGATGTTGTTGTACCGGGTGACACAAAAAAGCGTTCATCACCTAAACTTGAATAACGAAGAGGGGTCGTCAGGGACCTCCAGTGGTTCCAGCAGGATGGTGCCACCCCCCACACCTCAAACGAATCATTGGCATGGCTACAGCAGCGTTTCCCTGACCGACTGATCAGCCGCAGGTGTGACCCGGAGTAGTCGCCGCATTCACCGGACTTGGGCGCCCCAGATTTTTATCTGTGGGGATACCTTAAGGACAGGGTGTATGGCAACAACCCCCAGACTATCCCTGATCTGAAGGCAGCAATCACAGCAGCAATAAAAGCGATCCCAAGGGAAGAATGTGGGAGGGTCATCGAGAACTTTGCCCGCCGGATCCAAATGTGCTTGCAACACCGGGGAGCTCATTTAGAGCACATTTTTTGAGCGCCAGTTAAACAAAGAGTTTTTGTGGTACAGACTTGAAACTTTGGAGATGTCTGCTACATAGACTTAACCTAATGTAGCTGAATTTTTGTGTTAATCTAAATAAAATTTTGGAAGTTATTCGATTTTTATTGATGAACGTTTTTTTTTGTGTCACCCTGTAGTAGAGGCCATCAAAGGTTTAATAAAGCGAAACGAAATATAGATCTGTATTTTAATCAGATTGGTTAGCGCAATAAACTAGAACACATAATTATGGAAAACAGCTAATACTACTACTACAGTTTTTGTGACGTTTCGAAGAACATTCTCTCAACTTTATCAAGCTAATACAGTAATACACTAAATGTGGATTTTCTCCGGGTCCTCCGGTTTCCTCTCACTGCTAAAGACCCCTACGCGCATGCGAATTATGTAAATAAAATTAAACCATATGTTAGTACCGAAATGACCTAGTTTGTGTCGAGTGGACGTTAAATCCCATTTCTCTCTCTCTCTCTTTCTCACTCTCTCTCTGAAACTAATATTACAGAAACATCAACTTGTGTTATGTTTTGTTGTGTTAGACTCTGATGAGATTCCAGTAGGACGTTAAACCCCATTTCATTTGTTTTCATTTTTATGTGATGAAATTCTATAGTAGCATTTTATTGTAGGTTCGGCTTAGGAATGTGACATTACGTTGCCCTCCTGCTCATGGACTGCAAATTGGCTAGAGGGTTGGGTGTCCGAATGGTTAACGTGCGCGAGTTTTATCATAAGGTTTGTCATTGCGTCAAATGGCGTGCTTTCGATGTCCAACCTAGTGGGTTTTCTCCGATTCCTCCAACCCCCCCCCCCCCCTGCTAAAGACCCCTACGCGCAAGCGAATTATTGAAATAGAATTGAAGCCCCGAATGACTTAGTTTGTTTCGAGTGGATGTTAACCCCCATTTCTATATCTCTCAAAAATGGCTATGTGGCACCTTGTTGTCAGTGTTGTCACTGTTGGATCAAACATGTGTATATATGACACTGCGCAACATGGCACGACAGCAAATGGGTTATGCAATACTGTCTTATGTAAACGGCGGTATGTCACGCTGGGGGGGGGGGGGGGTCACGACGGCTAAGTGGGTAAGACGCTGGTTCGCTAGCTTGGATGTCGGGTGTTCGATCGCTGCCTTGGCCGAGAAAGTTCATCCAGATATTCGGGCATGTTTCCCCCTTGTCAGTGATGCAGGATGGAGGGTCTGACAAGGACAGCTGTCTAGTCGTTCGGATGGGACTAAAAACCGAGGTCCTGTGTACACATTTCATGCACGTAAAAGATCCCTTGGCAGTTGGAATTTGATATATAAGAGAAAGTCGTAGCGCCGCTGACCGGGCAAAATTTCCATCATAGCACACTGTATGGCGTATGCCCGTCTTCATTAGCCCAGGTTAGGAGCAGAACAGTAGGATGTTGAACCCCATTTCATTGCATGCTGGGTATATAAAATTAATAAGTCCGGAGACAACAAAACTTAATAACATACTAATATATACAACTATAACATCGTAACAGACCTATATAGAGAGAAATGGGGTTTAACGTCCACTCGACACAAACTAGGTCATTTCGGGACTAACACATGGCTCAATTTTATTTCAATAATTCGCTTGTGCGTAGGGGTCTTTAGCAGTGTGTGTGTGTGGGGGGGGGGGGGGCTACTCCTTGTCACCTAAAACCGGGGACTCGAAACCACGCCAGTTGACACAATGAGAGACCTTATGATACATCGCGCACGTGCTAACCGTTCGACCATCCAACCCCCGCTAACAGACTTAGAGGAATTAACATTAAACACAGTTCAACACAATATGTCTACCCTTATTATCGACCGACCGTCTGTCGAGGAAAACGCGCTAGTCTGATTCCAATAAACAGTTTAGATATGCAAGCATTTGTAGGGCGGATTATTACCATACACGGTTAAATTCGGACACCTTCTAGCTACGTCAGCCTGATCTGTCCAATAAGGCAATAGGATGTTATTTTCAAAGAAAACAGACCGGTTGTCAATTGTCGGAAATAGCTGAAGGCGGGATCTGTGGGTGACTCATTCTAGTGTTCTGTGTAGTATCACACGGAAATCTAGATCGTGCCCGAGACAGGGTATGCTTAACTGATTTGGGAATTCGTCAGACACCACATATTATACAGATGACCATATTTAGTCATTCTAACCAGAACGGCACACAAATAATACACAGGTTCCACTACAAGTTTACAAATAATATACAGGCTCAACTACAAGTTTACAAGTAATACACAGGCTCAACTTAAAGTTTGTAAATAATATACAGGCTCAACTACAAGTTTACAAATAATACACGGGCTCGACTACAAGTTTACAATAATACACAAGCTCAACCACAGGTTTACAAATAATGCACAGGATGAACTACAAGTTTACAAAAAATACACAGGCTCGAGAACTACAAGTTTACAAAAAATACACAGACTCAACTACACGTTTACAATAAAACAAAGGTCAACTACAAGTTAACAATTAATCCACAGGATCAACTACAAGTTTACATAAAAATACACAGACTCAACTTCAAGTTTACAATAACACAAAGGTCAACTACAAGTTTACAATAACACAAAGTTCAACTACAAGTTTACAATAAAACACAGGCTCCACTACAAGTTTAAAATATTACAGAGGAAAGACATTCAGCTATATATAATTCTCCGGTATCACAGTTTGGGGGTTGGGTGGTTTAATACGTATGGTTTATATTATTAGATCTGTCAATCAGTCATGGGGCGTGCTTGCAATTCCCTGCACGTACGTGAATATGGTCACCTGTCCAGCCTCCTGGGTTTTCACCGCTTCCTCCGGTTTCCAGAAACGAGCTAGTTTGTGTCGAGTGGACATATTGACACCCCCCTCCCCGACCCTCCCCCTCTCTCTCTCTCTCTCTCTCTCTCTCTCTCCTCCAACTAGGTCATTTCGCGATTAACATAAACATAGTAGAGACTAACATAATATGCTTTAATTGTCCTGGCACACAGAATACAATGTATACGTGTTTGTCTCATCTGTTTCAGCATCTGTAATTATTGATGTTAGTGATAAAAGCACGGAGACAAAAATAAAGAATCAGGTCATAATTAGATATTATAAATATGATGTTGATGGGGATGACGAAACTGGGGGACGAAGTGAAAGTACAGAAATGAAGAAAAAGAAGAAGAAAGATGATGAAACTGATTTAGGATGCCTCTGTAAAGTTTCATTTATAACTTACATATTTTTGTATCAAACTAACGATGATCGTCAACCTATAAATGTGGGTGATTATGAAGCTGAGTCAGACACGTGGTACAAAATAGATGATGGCCGTGTATTTACAATAATATTACCAAAACATAACGTCAATATCACACTTAGAGGTGAGTTAGTCTACATCCAGTATCATACTAAGAGGTGAGTTAGTCTACATCCTGTATCATACTAAGAAATGAGTGAGTCCACATCATCCAGTATCATACTAAGAGATGAATTAGTCTACACCCAGTATCATACTAAGAGGTGGGTTAGTCCTCATCCATAGGTTAGTCTACACTCAGTCTCATACTAAGAGTTGGGTTAATCTACACCCAGTCTCATACTGAGAGTTGGGTTAGCCCACATCCAGTCTCATACTAAGAGTTGGGTTAGCCCACATCCAGTCTCATACTGAGAGTTGGGTTAGACCACACCCAGTCTCATACTAAGAGTTGGGTAAGTCCACATCCAGTATCATACTAAAAGATGGGTTAGACCACACCCAGTCTCATACTTCGAGACATTTCATTTCATTTCATCTTCTACTGTTCTGCTCCTATACTGGGCTAATGAAGAGTGACATACGCCATACAGTGTGCCATGAGGGAAATTTTTCCCGGGCAGCGGCACTATCGCCTACTCTTATATCGAAAACTAACTGCCAAGGGATCTTTTACGCGCATTCCAATGTATACAGCTGTCCTTGTCAAGCCTTCCGTCCTGCATCACTGACAAGGGGGAAATCACGCCGGAAAATCTGGATGGCCTTTCTAGGCCAAGGCAGGGATCGAACACCCGACCTCCAGGCTAGCGAGCCGGCATCTTAACCACCTAGCCACCGTAGCTCCCACCTTAATAAGCACCGAGTCGTCAAATATGTCTATAAATTGACTGTTGATATCAGATATTTAATATTATTTTAGCCAAAAATCAACACCGAAAGATTCAGTCTGTTACATGTGGTTGTTATGTTGAGGATGTTGAAGTGGTTGTAGGTAAGATTATTAACTAATTATTCATACAGAGAGAGGGGGAGAGAGATAGAGAGAGAGAGGGGAGGGAGAGAGAGGGAGAGAGGGGGGGTAAGCACGAACCGGATTTCTTGCTGCGATACATAATAAATAAAATACAGAGGGAGAGGGAGAGAGTGAGGGAGAGAGAGGGAGGGAGAGAGAGAGGGAGAGGGAGAGAGAGAGGAGAGAGAGAGAGGGAGAGGGAGAGAGAGAGAGAGAGGGAGAGGGAGAGAGGGAGAGAGGGAGAGAGAGAGGGAAAGAGAGAGGGGAGGGAGATAGAGAGAGAGAGAGAGGGAGAGAGGGGAAGAGAGAGAGAGAGAGAGAGAGAGGGGGGGGGGGGGGTTAAGCACGAACCGTTATAGCTTAACGATGTTTTTTATCTTTAGGTAACAAATGTTGAACGAAGACAAATCTTATTATTAACCCACCGTTAATCAAATATTTTTAAATGTTATTATTAACCCAACTAATAATAAAATATTGGTGGTAAATCATATTATTAACCCACCGTTAATCAAATATTGGTAAATCTTATTATTAACCCAACCAACAATAAAAATACAACAGATAGAATCCAATATTTATACCCTAAATCCACGAGGACTCTACATATTAAATGTATTACAAAGCGGATATTACATATCCTTTCTTTTCAACATTGAAACATCCGGCAAAAATGTGCAATCATATTGGTGCACTTGCAAATACAATATGCAACTTTAACACGAATGAAAAGGCAGCATTGTTAAAATAAGTTACGTATTCATGAATAAGCGTCCCCTCCCCCCTTTTCAATCACAGAAGAAATTAAAACAAGGATTATTAAGAACGATTTATAAGAATTATCGCATATATAAGCATGGTATTTATTTATTTTCATATTTATTTTACCTCCGATTGGTTTATTTTCTAGGCGATACAAAACGTGAATATTTAAAGAGAGCGAATCAAACCGAAGTTGAGAATTTCTTTATTACAAAAGAAGATGCCGGAAGTGGTAAGGAAACGGTAGATGACGGAGGTGGTGAGGTAACGGGAGGTGGTGAGGTAACGGGAGGTGGTGGAGGTGGTGAGGTAACGGGAGGTGGTGGAGGTGGTGAGGTAACGGGAGGTGGTGGAGGTGGTGAGGAAACGGAAGATGGTGGAAATGGTAAGAAGACACAGGGAAATGGCAAGAGAGCAGAGAGAGATAAAGAGAGAGAGAGAGAGAGAGAGAGAGAGAGAGAGGTTTAACGTCCACTCGACACAAACTAGGTCATTTCGGGACTAACACATGGTTCAATTTTATTTCAATAATTCGCTTGCGCGTAGAGGTCTTTAGCAGTGGGAGGAAAGCGGAGGACCCGGAGAAAACCCACGAGGTTGGGCAAGAGAGCATGCAGCACAAAAGGTTCAAAGTAGGACCGTATGCCAAGTATATTTGAATTAAAACACAAAATTTTCCATAACGTTTATTTAACCAACTTAAAGAGAAGCACGAACTATCGTAACCGGAAGAAAAAAATACGAATGCAAGTCAACAATAAAATGCGTCCATCTTCGGTCAAATTGATTTAAGATTTCCCTTCGTTGCATCAGACCATTAGTTTAAAATTATGTAGGAAAAGAAGTCACGTAGAATTTCGTTAATGGGGGATTGTGGTGAGATTAGAGAAAGATCTGCCAGATCTCACTATAACAGTTAAAAAAAAGATAAAGTAAAGGGAATACGCTGAAAATGCCAGTCAAATTGCTCCATTCTGAACCGAGATATTAGCTTTTTCAATTTTAGGCTAGCCTCGATCATCGTTACAGAAGTCGTACGACAAAAAATGAAATCTCGATTATCCAATTTTATATTCCAATTCGTTAAATATCGTAGGCTAGCGACGGCATCGCGAGTTGATTATAGTCAGGATGAGAGTCTAAACTTATCAATCTGATTCAAACACAGATCCTATTTCGTTTCGATTTTTATAGTTCAAAATTTTGTTTTACTTGTCTTTATTACACTAGGATCTGGAAGAGCTGTTATCATCGACGTGTTCTGAATAGTGTGAAGTTTTAGCCAATGAAACGGTCTGTTACGGTGAGCTTTAGGCGTGTTTTGAACGGAGCTGTGGTTAATCCACTAGTAACATCAATGCTGATTGGTTAATCAAATGTCTGACGTCATAGGTATGACCTCTGACGTGACATATCGCAACAACCAGTCAGATCTTCATGTAGTGTAGGCCATCGAAAGTATATTAAAAATGCGAAACGAAATACAGATCTGTATTTTAATCAGATTGTTAACTTGTTTATTTTTCTGTTGTTATTTATATTACAGACGATAAAGACTCCAACGTAACCAAGAAAAGTCGTCATGACAACTCGCCCCAAAAATCAGGTATTGTTATTATAACTTTATATTCGATCGGATTCGCACAGGCGGAACTATGTTTTTTTTTTAAGAGAGTTGATCACATAACGAACGGGAACAAGATATGCTTTAACACAAAATATAAGGGGGGACTACACTTTTCATTCTAATCTACTGTTTTGAATATGTTATGTTTATTAAAACTAACACTATTCAAACATTTAATTGATGTTCAATAAAAATAGCTGAATTTATTGATTCGATTTAAAGGATAAGATTATCCACATGATACACTTTTCTACACACGTTACGTAATCTATTAGAGTTAGGCTCCTTACTCCCTTAAACCATGGCAGGGGCGGATCCAGTGGGGGTGGGGGGGGGTCAGCTACATAAAACTTTTTGTAAAACAACCTTTTTTATGAGAAAAGTGTCATAATTGTGCTTTATCCTTTATCGTCAGATGATGCGACAGGATGGGCACTCAAAGCGCGAGATAATGATATAGACATATGTGATATCACAATTAATGCTTTGCATCAATAAAATTGAATCGCAACGTCAACGCTCACTGATGATTAAACCCAAAAATGGATAATCGAGACTATGTTTTTTAGTAATGATGATCGAGGTATAGGCTTACAATTCAAAAGCTAATTTGACTGTAATTTTCAACATATTCTATTTACTTATCTAGTTTTTAACTATTATAGTGAGAAGAGTCATCTCTTTATCTAATCTCCCATACTGTCTCTTTCAAGAGATAATTGATATTTTCTTGTTTAAAAATATATTTGATATTTGATATTTCAGACAAGACGGTGTTAATAGTAGGAACAGTACTAGGAAGTCTATGTTTGATTATTGTCATCATCACTATAACAATTATTCTCTTAAGGTTGGTGTATATCTTTCCCGATTTATTATTTGGCTGTTCGGTCCTCTCCCATTGCAATAAAATTTATAATTTTACAATTAGTCCCAAATAACCCAGTTAGTCCGAATGAATGGACGTTTAACACCCATGTACCGAAAACCAGGTCATTTCGGGACTAACATTTTATTTTAATAATTTACCAGCACGGAAGGTTCTTTAGCAGTGGGAGAAACCTGCCAAACGGGAGGAAAACCCACGAGGTGACTATACTCCTTGTCACGTACAATCTTTGGATCGATACCATGCAACTTGACTCAATGATAGGTCGTATTATCTCAAGCGCGTGCGTTAGACGATTCGACTCATACCCGGAAATAGGTCAGCCAAAGCATCGATGTTTGGTTTGGTCGGCTCGTTACGTTAATATTTACTCTTTCAAGAAAACACGATTAAATACGTAAACAAAGCCCATTTAAAATTTTGCCTTTCTATCAATAAATCCGTTTGGTGTGAAGGATCTGTAACTTTTCATTGTCATTTGATTTTATAGGAAGTGGAAAAATAAGAAAGATAATGCCGTTATAAAAAGAGCTACGCCAGACTCCAACCCATCTTCTGTTCACGATCAGCATTACTATCACCCCATAGAACCCAACCATGTGGGTGTTATGGGTGATGTTGAAACCGACAGCCAGGTAGATAACTACAACCATATTGGTGATATTAAAACCAGCAACCAGGTAGATACCAGTACTTACAACCATATTGGTGATATTAAAACCGACAGTCAGGCAGATACTTACAACCATATTGGTGATATTAAACCCAGTAGCCAGGCAGATACTTACAACCATATTGGTGATATTAAACCCAGCAACCAGGTAGATACCAGTACTTACAACCATATTGGTGATATTAAAACCGGCAACCAGGTAGATACCAGTACTTACAACCATATTGGTGATATTAAAACCGGCAACCAGGCAGATACTTACAACCATATCGGTGATATTAAAACCAACAGCCAGGTAGATACTTACAACCATATTGGTGATATTAAACCCAGTAGCCAGGCGGATACTTACAACCACATTGGTGATATTAAAACCGGCAACCAGGCAGATACTTACAACCATATCGGTGATTTTAAAACGAGCAACCCAGGAGATACCAGCAACTACGACCATATTGGTGATAATAAAACCGCCAACCCGGCAGATACCAGCAACTACGACCAGTAGTTCCCGTACCATTAAAATTTAGTGGGATCTCGCGTTTCTTATATTTCTGAGTTTTAATTTTGATATGATTTTTAATATCGTGTTATATTTATATAATTAGAGGATTTAAACTCCTTTATCAACTCCTTTGATTTGTGTCAAAATACAATTGGGTTGATAAAGCAGGGCTTATAGGAATAATTGTTTCTAGAGCAGATTAAAGATGCATTATGTAAGATGTAAATAAAGAGAGAGTGAGTGAGAGAGAGAGAGAAAGAGAGAGAGAGAGAGATGGGGTTTAACGTCCACTCGACACAAACTAGGTCATTTCGGGACTAACATATGGTTTAATTTTATTTCAATAATTCGCTTGCGCGTAGGGGGTTTAGCAGTGGGAGGAAACCGGAGGACCCGGAGAAAACCCACGAGGTTGGACAGGCGACCCTACTCCTTGTCACGTACAAGAGAGAGAGAAGAGAGAGAGAGAGAGAGAGAGAGAGAGAGGGGGAGGTAACATCCACTCGTTACTAATATATGGTTAAATATTTTCTTTCAATAATTCGCTTGCGCATAGGGATTTGTAGCAGTTGTGGGAGATAAAGCAGGGAATCGAAACTACGCCACTTGACTCAATGGTAGACCGTCTGATACAACGAGCACGCGTTAACCATTCGGCCACCCATTCTCCTTTAGATAAAGAGCTGACCGTTCTTGCTATACGTATCAACGATAAAGCCAAATTAATATTTTGAAAATGTAATTCAAATAATTTTAATCTGAGCAAAGTTCTAAATGTTGAAAAATGTAGCGTAGATTGGTCATTATTGTAGCAACCGTACTGGACAAACGAGACTATCAGTGTTAAAGTTCAATTTTTTAGATCTTGCGGGCGATTAATTCCATTTTAATCTCTATCATTGAACGGTCTATAGTGCGTTGATGGGCTGACCATGTTAATAAATGTCTAAATAATAGTTTATATAACATTTGAAGCCATAGATTTGTACTAGGCAGATTTTGCTCTTACATAATGCATCTTTAAGCGAAAGTCTCGTTGTTTTTGGCAAACTGCGTCGACAGTTGAAACAAAATCGGTTATATAGACTTAGATTCCAAAGTTTAGTTTTGATACAAATCGAAGAGATTTCGCCATTTCATGAACATAAAACTGTTTTGTTGATGATTTTTTTTTTATATTACAAGATTACAATTTCGTTCCTTTGACATATTTTATTAAAGTTATTCTATTTAAGTTTTTTTAAGTTATATGTACCTGATCAGACATGGTAGTTGTGTAGTAATAATATTTTCAGTTACCTGATAGTAGTGATAGTAAAAGTACTTCGATCAGTCAGGAGGTAATTGGTGGTTGACTAGCTAACCGGATGTGGACAGTTTGCTTGAAACGTCTTATACTGGACGTGGGCGTGGCCTGCCTGTGTTTTTGTTCCCCCTAAACGATCGCCATTCTTCCTCTATAAATTGCAAACAAGTATGGCGGTCGTTTAGGGCGTTACCTTTTTTTATTTAATTATTTCTGTAGTTTTGTAATCGGAGTTCAGCTTTAAGGAGCATGTCGATTTACCTTGAGCCATGTTGAGTTATTTTGAGCTATGTTAAAGTTATTATATTTAAGGAGCATGTTGATTTACTTTGAGCTATTTTGAGTTATTTTGGACTATGTTAAAGTTATTATATTTAAGGTGCATGTTGATTTACCTTGAGCTATGTTGAGTTATTTTGAGCTATGTTAAAGTTATTATATTTAAGGAGCATGTTGATTTACCTTGAGCTATGTTGAGTTATTTTGGACTATGTTAAAGTTATTATATTTAAGAAATTATATTTAAGTTATTATATTTAAGGAATAGGTTGATTTATTTTAAGTGAGATCTGTTGGGGGTTAGGGGTAAATATGGTTTGAATACTTTATTTTTTGGGGGCTAATGTTTATTTTTTGTTCAATTTGTTTTTTTGCTATCTGAAGATCAATCTAGATCGCATCAATCCAATTTGATTCAACGTCTGTATATTGTCATGCTTTAATGCGAATAAACTAATATTATTATTATTATTATTATTATTATTAGTAGTAGTAGTAGTAGTAGGGGTACCCCCACATCCACCCCACCCCACAAAACTAGAATATATCCTCCAAAACAACAACAGAGAGAGGGGATTTAACGTCCACTGGACATTTCGTGACTAACATTGTTCAATTTTATTTCAATAATTCGCTTACGCGTAGGGGTCTTTAGCAGTGGGAGGAAATCGGAGAACCCGGAAAACACACACGAGGTTGGGCATGCGACCCTACTCCTTGTCACGTACAAGCGGGGAATCGAAATCACACTACTCGACTCAAAGACAGGCCGCGTTAACCGTGCGGCCACCCAAACCTGAAAGTTATATACGGAATTGGGAAAGAATATAAGCGGGCAAGACGTGACTGGTCCCTGTTTGGCCCCCTTGTTGGACGAGAATCTTGGTCGAGATATTCCGGCGTAGTAGTCCCTTGTCAGTGATGTTGGATAGAGGGCCTGAAAAGGGACAATGCATAGCCGTTCGGACTTGACGAAAATCCGAGGTTCCGCGTACACATTGACGTGAACATGAAGGAACCCTTGGCAGTTGGCATTCGGTTCACCTACAAGCGGGGAATCGAAACCACGTCACGTGACTCAGTGACAGACCTTATGATGTAAATGCCTGTTCCTTGGACAATTTTCACATCGACTGCCGGAATTCGATTTTTGATATAACGTCAATATTCCAAGATGGTGGCGATAACGTCATGCCCGCGCAGCACAGCAGGACGTTCAAACATTGATACAGCTGTATAATGATTGAACTTTCTGTTAATTCCGCCCACCATAAAGTCTTGACCAATCTTATATCAGAAGGGAGTCACGATGGCTAAGTGGGTAAGACGCTGGCTCGCTAGCCTGGAGGTCGGGTGTTCAATCCCTGCCTTGGCCGTGAAAGTTCATCCAGATTTTCCGGCGTGGTTTCCCCCTTGTCAGTGATGCAGGACGGAAAGCCTGACACGGACAGCTGTCTAGTCCTTCGGATGAGACGAAAAACCGAGGTCCCATGTATACATTGGAATGCACATAAAAGATCCCCTGGCAGTTGGAATTCGATATAAGAGTAGGCAATAGTGCCGCTGCCCGGGCAAAATTTCCCTCATTGCACACTGTATGGCGTATGCTCGTCTTCATTAGCCCAGTCGGAGCAGAACAGAAGGACGTTAAACCCCATTTTATTCATCAGAAATGTACGATGATCTAGACCATGATACTAGAATCGAACCACATCAATCTGGTTATCAAGGATTTCCTAAATATATATATATGAACCAACCAAGTCGGGTAATCAAATATACGACGGACGCAGGAGATTCGCTAACGTTAAGCAACCAACTGTTATATCGCGACATGAAACTACCATGAATGATCTTAATGTTTCAAGTTACGTATTCATATGAATACATCAATATTTATCTTGTTCTAACTACTCCAAATTATATTTTTTAAATGATTATAATATTAATTGAAAATGGCAGAGAGAGGGCCTGTTCATCAATCCCATTCAGTTATCCTGAATAAAAATGCTGTTTAAAAAAAAAAAAAAAAATGACCAGCGGCCTTAAAGGCTGGCGAGCCGCCGTGGCTCAACGTGCAGGATGGGGTGATTTCCCCTTCTCAGTGGGTGTAGGATGGAGTGATGTCCCCTTGTTAGTTGGTTTAGGATGGAGTGATCTCCGCTTGTCAGTGGGTCTAGGAATGAGTGATGTCTCTTTGTCAGTGGGACTAAGACTAGTAATTATTTCCCCTTATTTCATGATGTAGTGCGAGTTATAAATAGACAATTTTTCCCTTAATTTTTTTCTCCCCTCTTCCTGCATTTTGGGTTGTCTTTTTGGTCTAAAAATGGAGAAAAGCTATCAAATTTGCAATTTCATAGCAGTTTTGGGTATTACTGATGATTTTACAGTGTCTTTCTGCAGAGGAGTCATTGTATCGGAAGTGAGACTTTCACCCCAGTCAACTTCAAATCCCCGTAGCAAAAAATCTAAATGGTCGACCCCCTACAAGTTTATGATGAGGAGATTGCCAAATGGGGCCCCCATTGTGCCTATAAAGATTGGAACCAACGGAATGTTGAACAAAAAGCCACAGCCTGTGATGTTACAGCCATTTAACATTGAAGTCAATAGGCAAATAATTGCTAGTCTTAGTCCAGTGGATGTAGGATGGAGTGATCTCCACTTGTCGGTGGGTGTAGGATGGAGTGATGTCTCCTTGTCAGAATGGAGAGTGTTACAAGTACAGTGTCTAGTTGGTTAGATGGTCGAAAAGCCGAGGCCTTTTGTACGGATTGGAGTGCACGAAAAACGACCTTTCATGGTTGGAATTCGATATAGTAGACCGTAATGCAGCTGTCCGTACGCCAGTCTTAATTAACCTGGTCGGTGTAATAAAGTAGAACTTTAAACCCCATTTCAGGCATTTCAGCGTGGTTGTAAATGGTTTCTGAATAGCAGGCGGTGGAATAATCGCTAAATTCATAAGACTTAACCCATGACCCACCTAACTTGAAAAAAGTTTTTTTTGGTCATTTTTCGTCGATTTTTTTTCGGTATTTTCCGGTACATTTTGGAATTGTGCAGTATTTTTCGGATTTTTTCGGTATATACAGCCGTTTTATTGTTATGTCTGTAAAAGTAGCAAGTTTAATAGACCCTCTCTCTAAACCAAATCTTATCAAAGCTTCAAACATACACAACTTAAAGGCTCAATACCACTCATGTTGTAACTGAATAATATGTCCCAATCTTTATTCTGGTCAACAAATTGTACTATTTTACAATATTTCAATTAATTGATGATACAAATTTCATCTTAACACACCTAATTTAAAAAATTGGAAAAATTCAACTAAATGATTTGAAAAGCCTGACGTAAAGCTTTTCACATGTGCCTTGGATTTAAAAATATTTTTGAACCCTTTGTTTAAGTAAAATAGGATTTAATGGACAATTTACACAACAGGTAGTACACTTAAACATCTAATACTTAAAATAAGGCTATGTTTTATTTTCTGGAGCTGTCAACCCAGCAAGAGTGATATTGTCCCTTTAAGCCCAGAATAAAGTAATTTGATGGAAATTTTGAATATGTTCATATCTTTCGAACTATTAAAGCACGAACGGACATCTCTTTATCTAAATCTTAAATGACGCGTCTTGAAAACAACTTAAAATAAAAGTGAGTTAAACATCCTACACAAACCGCACCAGGCGGACATCTCTTTATCTAAAAACTTATATGATGTATCTTTAATAACATAAAAATAAAATGGGCGGTAACATCCTATGGGGGGTTGAATGGCCGAATGGTTAGCACTTGCGCGTTGTATCATGCATGAGGCCTGTCATTGAGTTAACTGGCGTGGTTTCGAATCCCCGGTTGTACGTGACAAGGAGTAGGGTTACCTGTCCAACCTCGTGGGTTTTCTCCGGGTCCTCCGGTTTCCTCCCACTGCTAAAGACCCCTACGCGCAAGCGAATTATTGAAATAAAATTAAACCATTTTAGTCCCGAAATGACCTAGTTCGGGACGTCGAGTGGACGTTAAACCCCATTTCTCTCTCTCCCGTAACAGCCTACACAAACTGCTTCAATGAGAACGGACATCTCTTTATCTAAATTTTAATTAAATGACGCATCTTGAATACACCTAAAAATGGAGTTAAACAGTCTATACAAACCACACCATGATGATTATCTCGGATGTTGAATCGCTGTTATTTGTCCCTTCTAGATCATATATCTAATATATATATTATATATAGAAATATATTCTTCGCTGGGGGTTTGTATAGTATTATATACTGTGAGACATGTGTTGATAGTTCTATCTATATTCTGTTATGCAGTTCTCCACCATGGTTCATATCAGTTTATGTTGCCTACCCATGATCGTATATTGTTTGTTTTTCTATGTTTTATTGTGCCGTTTCCCGTCATTCTTGACTGAAACTGTGGTTTAATTAGATTTTTTGGGGAGTATTAATTGTTTTGTGCTGTTTACCTATGATCGTGTATTGTTTGTTTTATCTGCGTTTTATTGTGCAGTTTTCCATCATTGCTGACTGAATCTGTGGTTTAATTGATTATAAATACTGATAATGGCGAGATATTTTACTGTTCAACTGACTGTATTAACCGTGCTGGTTACCAATAGTTACGGTATGTATACAATTCACCTTTATGGGGTTCTGTGGGGATGGAAGGAAATAACATGACATGGGGTTTAACCTCCTACAGTTACGGTATGCATACAATTCACCTTAGAGAAGTTTTGTGGGGTTGGAACTAAATAACATGAAATGGGGTTTAACGGCCGACTGTTCTGCTTGATCAACTGGACATATTTTTGCTTGATCAAGACCAAGGAAGCTTAGTCGAAACGTCGAGACACAGAAATGATCCCCCAAATTGTTCCTATTCAAGCTTCCAAGCAAATTAGATCAAAACAACTTCTATGGGTCAGTGTAATTACTATTAGATTTTATGGAAGCAGACCATCATTAACACTGAATTAACATTTCTCGCCAGGTTTGGTAAATATTCATGATTTAGAGGTGAAGGATAACAGAGTTATTAGGTTGGCTACGGTGATATGTACGTCGAATAGTTACATGTTTTTACATGTAGTATGCATCTTCAAATTTGTGTATCGCAACATTTTTGTGGTCAACCTCGTACAAATTTTAGTACAAAGACACTGTCTGTAGTGAAAATCATTCAGCCCAATGAAAAGTTGGGGAAAAGGCTGGCAAAGGGACGGGATTGATATTGAAGTCAATGGGGAAATAATTAAATGGCGGTCTAGCTGTCACCTTATTTCATTTCGGGTTACTACCTTACCGATCTAAGAACAGTTTTGGTGATGAAATGCGCATGTACCAGGAGAATTCATTTGCAGTATGATTGCCCGTTTGTATTATATCTTCAATACAGTAATTTATATTGGACACAAGGGGCTGCCAAGCTGGGAATACTACCCTTTATATAAAAAACATTTCTTTAATATCCAGATTATATTTTACATTTTAAATCTTTGTTCTAAACATAAAATTTTAAACTCTAATATGAATGGATGACCTCGTGCTCCCAGCAGATAAAGTCATACACTAAAGTTAAAGGAGCTAAATCGCTAATATTTGGGATCTAGAAATTGACACAAATGGGTCGCAACGCATATAAAAATGTAATCTGATTGTATATAATAAACTAATTTACATGCCATTGTTTCCGTTTTTTACTCTAATTTCAAATCAGTTATGTTCAGCGAAATACGGCATGAGTCTCAACCCAATCGCCATTTCTAGCATCTGGTTATTCCAGTCTATTGCGCATGCTCTCACGGCGTCACCGTATGACATGAGTTGTGGAATATGTCTAGTCTCGTTCTTTCTGGTCACTTGTTACAAGTGACGCCGAAACGCACTATGGTACACGATTCGTGTACCAATGATAAAATATTTATTTTATCTTAAATATTGGATATCAGAAGCCTACCTTTCCAGGTAAGATCACAACATCAATATTGATTTGAATTGACAAATAATTCGTGTTTTGACCGTGTAAGACTTTGTATTATTTGTATGATATTGAGTTAGAGACTTAGCTACTTTAAACAAACGATGACAGGATACTGATAACGTTGTGGGTTTCCGTTATTTACATCAGTTGTTTTATAGGTTCTAAAGTGTTGTATTACTAAATAGTATGACATTCCCTGACATTTTTACAGATATAATTAATACGAGTATAGTTTTATTGTGGATATCCTATTTAAAATACCATTTTTTTTAAACTTTTAACACTTTGTTTAAATAAATATTTTTTAAATTATCTTATATGTAAATTTTATATATTCATTTCTCCTTCAACTCTCCATTTGATCGAAAAACCCTATAATATTATCTTGAAAAAATCATAATTCTACCCCTCTTTTTGTTGAAATATGAACTGGTTTACACAAATTTTGTGGAAGCGAAGTCCGGTGATTTGTTATCTTAGCCTCCAAGGAGACAAGTCCATAAATATTCAAAAGGTCCCCCCTTTCTGGTAAGCACTTCGGTAATTTGCCACCCCCAAGAAGAGTCGCGCCCACCCCCGGGCATATGCCCCCCTCAGCCCCCACCCCCACCCTCCAATATGTGAGGGTCCTGGCTACTAGTACAAAATTTCTGAGATAAAAAATTATGATAGGATATAAATTTCAAATAATAATTTATATGAAAACAAAACTAAAATACTTGCACATGTGCAGGTGCTTGTTTAAGAATTATTGTATTTACATTTAAAAATCCAAAATAACGAAGTCTCCCTAAAGGCAGTCAATCTATAAATAATTTTGAAGAGCAACGTATGACGCGCGATGTAAAGGGCGACGCGTCGCTTTATAAAGGGCGACATCGTGTTAAAACTTTGACGTCGATTTTTTTTCTCTCCATAGCTTAACATTGAAAAAGGCGACGCGCGACGCGAATTTTGCGTCGCGCTTTGTGTTCCTTTATTTTGAAAAGGCGACGCGCGACGCGAAAAGTGACCGAAATAGATCACAATACCTATGAGTATATTAACATACAACCCAACTCTGTCACAGATTACAACATAGCAACGGACATCCAGTTATTTAATACAGTCATTTACGATGGAGACAATTTCAACTCAAATATAACGTAGTGTGTTCGTGGAACATTCTCTTAGCCATTATTACAGGGCGGAGGACCTGACAATGACAGCTGTCTAGTCCATCGGAAGAGACAAAAAACCGAGGTCCCGTGTATATATTGGAATGCACGTAAAAGATCCCCTGGCAGATGGAATTCGATATAAGAGTAGGCGATAGTGCCACTGTCCGGGCAAAATTTCCCTCATAGCACACTGTATGACGTATGCCCGTCTTTATTAGCCCAGGTTAGGAGCAGAACAGTAGGACGTTAAACCCCATTTCATTTCATTTCAATATCCATTGTACAATATAGTTTATCCCCCTAATTAACGTATTGTTCAGTGGTGTATTTATACGCAACACAAACCACATCACGTATTGGGGTTGGGATGGCCTTGTGGTCTAGAGTGCCGCGCTTCGACCTCTAGCTGGCCGGTCACCTCTGACTTGCGGTTTTGGTTTCAATCCCTGGTGTGAGCGTATGTGTCTTGAAGAAAGGGGCGCCTTCTCAACCTCGTGGGTTTACTCCGGGTAGTCCGGTTTCCTCCCACAGGAAAGACACTTGCGCGTGCGCTAAGATAATAAGAAAAAGGAAAAATGAGATTTGTCTGCGATATCACCTTCGGTGGAAGCGGACGTTAAACACTAAGTACAGATATAAGGATTGGTATCATATAGAATCGTCAATATGTTCTGTACACGACACAGACTACATCATGTATAATCGGGACTTACAAGGACAGCTGTCTAGTCGTTCGGATGGAACGAAAAACCGAGGCCCCGTGTATACATTGGCGGGCACGTAAAAGATCCCTTGGCAGTTGGAATTCGATATAAGAGTAGGCTATAGAGCCGCTGCCTGGGCAAAATTTCCCTCATTGCACACTGTATGGCGTATTCCCATTATCCCAGTCGGAACAGAACTGTAGGACGTTAAACCTCATTTCAATTCATTTCATTATAATCGTGACATGTTATATACAATATGTTTTATTCATTTTGTATTTCAGGAAAGATAGATTATTTTGGTAACACTGCATGTAGCGGCGTCAACTCACGCTGTCCATATCACAATCTACGTTGTAATAACAACGAAGGATTGGTAATAACGAGAGCAAAATATGGCTATGTTGAACTACAATCACGCCGGAAGACATGTTGTCGGTACAACAAGTCGGACTGTTTAGTCGACTTTACTGCTAGTGATATGTCGGATATATATAAATGCAGTGGATTGTCAGGATGTCCCATTCCGTCACCAACAAGAGGTGTGGCTAGTCATTGTAATGATAATAAGAACTACGCGTATTCCTGGATTGAACACGGATGCAGCAATGGTAAATATAAGTTTAGAGGCTTTTAGTAACTGAACAGAGCAATAAACTATAACACATACATATGGAAACTCAGCTACTACCCTTTTGTTTAGCGACGTTTCGAAGAGTATTCTTTCACCGTTATAAAGCTAATACAGTAATATACCAATGTAAAGGGGTGGGGGGTGACTGGATGGTTAGCGCGTGCGCGCTGTATCATAAGTATTGTCATTCAGTCAACAAGCGCGATTTCGATTCTCCGGTTGTACGTGACAAGAGGTAGGGCCGCCTGTCTAACCTCGTTGGTTTTCTCTGGGTCCTCTGCTTTCCTCCCATTGCTAAAGACCCCTACGCGCAAGCGAATTATTGAAATAAAATTGAACCATACGTTAGTGTCGAGTAGGCGTTACCCCCCCCCCCTCTCTCTCTCCCAAATGTGAAGCTAATGAATAGGTGTTGTAGTTTATATGTTTTGTTGTGCTCCAACTCTGGAGTGTGAGACTGCGTGACTATCTTGGGTATCACCTGGTCGCGAACGGACTCCAAATTGGCTGTGTTGCACTCTGCTGTCACCTTTGTCACTGTTGGGACACAATCAGGCGTCGCGGTATCAAACATAGGATATGTAACACTGTCTTGTGTTATAGCAATATTTCACACCTTGGATATAAGATCAATAAGTCGAAGACAGCAAAACTTTATAAAATGCTGATTTCTGTAACAAAATATATAGTAACTATCTCATTCGATTTAACCTTAAACACAGTTAAACGCAATATGTCTACCAAGGCTATTATAGCAAACCGTGTGCCTAGGAAAACGCGCTAGTATAATAATAATAATAATAATAATAATAATAAAAACTTTATTTAATGAGGCAACTTATTTTGTTTTCAAAAAATCCCTAATCTTCTAAGCTACAAAGACATATATACATGTAATATCAGGATAAATTCAAAATCATTTGAAATGCAATAGCATTTTAAAGTGGGAAGTTGGGGAAGTCACTCCTAAACTAAAAATCATATATACTCTTCAAAAAAAAGTAGGGGATATTGAAATGGAAATACCTTTGCAGGTTGTGATGTGATAAATAGTCATGGACACTTGACATGCTTTGGGAGTATGTTCACAGATGAAGACTTTATCGCCTCAACAGAACCACTGTGCTGCACGTCCGACACGCAATAGCGCCATACACTTCAAAGAAGGGTTGATGAAACCTGCCGCGTGCTGGTTTATCCTATCCATGTTTGCTTTCCTATCGGTTCTTGCAGAAGATTTACAGTTAACCTATCTTTGCTTTAGTGTGTTACGTTTAATTTGCAATGAGACGTCTTCAACATGATGAACGTGTACGTGCTATTGGCATGCTTCAAATGGGTTCTACACAGCGAACAGTAGCCAATATGCTTAATGTGTCACAGTCTGTGATCGGCAGACTGTGGAACCGGTACCAACAAACACACAATGCAGATGAAAGACCTCGTTCAGGTCGACCTGGAGCCACTACACAAGCCCAGGATCGATACATTCGTACATAGATCCAGCTTTCTGTAAACTTGTACTAAATTACATGAATTCGAGTTACAGCCCATTTGCATGCGCAACGACCGCGTGTTGTGCCTCCATTAACTCGCCAGCACATGGAAAACAAGCATCAATGGTGTAGGCAGCTTATAAATTGGGGTTATCGTCGATGGGCGCGTGTAATGTTCTCAGATGAGTCCAGATTTACTCTGGATTTCACCGATAGGCGTGCTCGCGTTTGGAGGCGTGTAAATGAGCGTCATGCTAACGTTAACGTCAGACAACATGACAGATTCGGGCGTGGGTCTGTTATGGTGTGGATAGGAATCACCATGACTGGCAGAACGGACTGCATATTGTTTAAGGAAGGGTCACTGGTGTGTTCTACCATGACCACATCCTGGCACCGATATTTCTGCCCTTTGCTCAACGTGCAGGTCGACGTTTCATCTTTCAAGATGATAATGCCCGTGCCCACCGCGTTCGTGTCGTAAATGACTACCTCCAGTGTCACCATATTGTCCATATGCCTTGGCCAGCCATAAGCCCTGTCCTTTCTCCTATAGAGCATGTCTGGGACATTATCGGGAGACATGTTCGTCGACGTCAACGTCAACCGACAACACTGCAAGAATTGGCCGTGGCACTGCAAGAGGAGTGGGACAGATCGCCCCAAATCGCGATTGGACGGTTGATTAGGAGCATGCCACGACGAATTGCTGAATGTCTGAGGATTGGTGGAGCAATTACTCATTATTAAGAAAAAAAATCAAAAACGTCCATTTTCACTTTCGACAGTGTATCTCAGTGATTCTCAACCAGTGTGCCGAGGCACACAGGTGTATCTTCCCAAGTGTGCCGCGAAATTTTGAACGGCACACTAAGAAAATGTGAAAAAATACCTGACCCCAATTGAGTATCCACTGATAAGTTCATATTTAGTTTGAGAGTCATTCTAAGTGTCTATGACAAGTCTCTGCCTACGGTTGTATGCCGCCTGAATTACCATGTTTTTATTTTGCAAAATTAAAAGGTGTGCAACTATTTCTTCATGTGTTCCAAGGTGTGCCGTTGGCAAAAAAAGGTTGAGAACCACTGGTGTATCTCTTTGCGAGTGAAATGGGGCCGTCAGATAAGCCACCCATATGAACTGTTTATGTTGATGTGTAGGCAATTGGCCTGTTATTAATATACAATGGTTACCTCTAATAAAAACAGCAGTGCATTTCCGCAGTTTTGTATTGTTTCTGAATATCCCCTACTTTTTTTTGAAGTGTAGAATATAGGAAGAACACTATAATTACACACAAAATAAAATAGAATGCAGGTGCAAGTTAAGTATACACCAAAAATAATAAGTATGTCATCAGTTGAATATTATGGTTTCTTCAGCGCTAAATATAAATGAGTTTTCAGTTTAATCTTAAAATTTTTAACATTTTTACACATCTTTATATAAAAAGGCAGATTGTTCCACAAAAGACATGCGGAATAATGAAAAGTGCGTTTCATGGATTCCGTTTTGCATTTTTGAAGGAAAAGAGATTTACTGGTCTGTGAACGGAGCAAGATATCAGTTTTGGAAACAAGAGATTTTTCAATAAAATAGGAGTTTAGATAAAGTGGAGTATTAAATGTAAGAATTTTAAATGATGAGACAATTTTATTATAAAGAATACTCTGTGTAAGGGGAAGCCAACTGAGTTTAGTAAATAAAGAGGTGGACGGAGTTTCAATTGGTGCATTAAGAATACTTCTTGCTGGGCTCTTTTGTAATTTTAAAAGAATTTCTGATCTACTTTTGGTAACATTACCCCAAATAATAGAGCAAATAATCAAATATTGGTGTAATTTATATAAAAAGTTTAGATACTTAAGGCGGATTATTACCATCATATTATTAGTATAGGGTTTAATCCGGGTACCTTATTACGTCACAATTGTGCTAATCTGTACTTTACCAGATGATCGGAGACCCCTGACCCGGCGTCTGTCCAATTTCTACAATATGGTGCTGATCTGCCCAATATGGTAATAGGATGTTATTGTCAAAGAAATTAGGCAGGTTGTCCATTTTCAGCAATATAGAAAAAGACTATCCTGTGTAGCACCACAAGGAAATCCGGGTCATGTTCTGAATTCATCTGATATCATATATATACACCTGACAATATTTAGTCATCCTAACCTGAACACCACACAGATAATACACAAGCCCAACTACACATTTACAAGAGAGAGAGAGAGAGAGAGAGAGAGGGGGATAGAGGGAGAGAGAGAGAGAGGGGATAGAGGGAGTGAGAGAGAGAGAGAGAGAAAGAGAGAGAGAGAAAGAGAGAGAGAGGGGGATAGGGGGAGAGGGAGAGAGAGAGAGGAGATAGAGAGAGAGAGAGAGGGGATAGGGGAGAGGGGGAGAGGGAGGGGGAGGGGGGAGGGAGGGGGAGAGAGAGAAAGAAAGAGAGAGAGAGAGAAAGAGAGAGAGAGAGAGAGAGGGGGATAGGGGGAGAGGGGAGAGAGAGAGGGGAGAGAGAGAGAGAGAGAGAGAGAGAGAGAGAGAGAGAGGATAGGGGAGAGGGGGAGAGGGAGGGGAGGGGAGAGAAAGAGGGGAGAGGGAGGGGAGAGGGAGGAGAGGGAGAGAGGGGGAGAGGGAGAGGAGAGGGAGGGGAAGGGGAAGGGGGGGGGAGAGAGGGGAGAGAGAGGTGGGAGAGGGAGAGGGAGAGGGAGGGAGAGAAAGGAAGAGAGAGAGAGATAAGGGGGTGTGTGACAATACAATATATACATGTTGTTCTCATCTGTTTCAGCATCAGTAATTATTAATCTTAGTGATAGTACCATACAAGAGAAAAACAAAAATCAGGTTATTATCAATTATGATAAATATAAAAATGGTAAGAACATTGGAGCAGATGGGGTTGATAAAACAGATCCAGATGAAGGAGAACTTGGTGTAGGATGCCTCTGTAAAGTTTCATTTGAAACTTACATATTTTTGTATCAAACTAACGATGGTCGTCAACCTATAAATGTGGGTGATTATACAGCTAAGTCAGACACGTGGTACAAAATAGATGATGAAATAGATGAAATAATATTACCAAAACATAACGTCAACATCACACTAAGAGGTGAGCTAGTCTACATCATCCAGTATTATACTACAAGGTGGGTTAGTCCTCATCCATGGGTTAGTCTACACCCAGTCTCATACTAAGAGTTGGCGTAGTCCACACCCAGTCTCATACTAAGAGTTGGGTTAGTCCACACCCAGTCTCATACTAAGAGTTGGGTTAGACCACACCCAGTATCATACTAAGAGTTGGGTTAGACCACACCCAGTCTCATATTAAGAGTTGGGTTAGCCCACACCCAGTATCATACTAAGAGTTGGGTTAGACCACACGCAGTATCATACTAAGAGTTGATTAGACCACACCCTGTATCATACTAAGAGTTGGGTTAGTCCACACCCAGTATCATACTAAGAGTTGGCGTAGTCCACACCCAGTATCATACTAAGAGTTGGGTTAGACCACACTCAGTATCATACTAACAGTTGGGTTAGGCCACACCCAGTCTCATACTAAGAGGTGAATTAATCCACACCGAGTATCATGGTAAGAGTTTGGTTAGTCCACATCCATCCCGTGCCATACTAATAGTAAGTGCTGGGCGACTCCACCACACATAAATTACACAGAACAAAGCAACGGACAAGATACAATCCGCAGAATTCACAAACATATTAAGTGAATAGATCCGAGGGCTAGCCGTAAGCGTCCAAATGAAAACTAAGAATAAGGAGGAATATAAATTGTGTAATATTACTAGTACGAGCCATGATCTGCTATATATCATACTGCGATGTAGCTTTGTCCACACCAAATATCATTCAAAGTCCACAAGCAGTATCATACTATGATGTAGATTAATCCACACCCAGTATCATACTAAGAGGTGGATGAGTCCACATCAATCATCATACTGAGAGGTGGATGAGTCCACATTAATCCACACCCAGTATCATACTGAGAGGTGGATGGGTCCACATCAATCATCATACTGAGGGGTGGATGAGTCCACATTAATCCACGCCCAGTATCATACTGAGGGGTGGATGAGTCTACATCAATCATTATACTGAGAAGTGGATGAGTCCACATTAATCCACACCCAGTATCATACTGAGAGGTGGATGAGTCCATATCATACTGAGGGGTGGATTAGTCCACCCCAACCGATCCCTGTCGTTAAAGCAAATATTTCATATCAAGTTGAAATAATATTTCATCCACATAATGAAGTCGATTGTCGGCATTTCATTTTGACTTTTCAATAATATTTAAAATACCTTGATACACACTGAGTTCAATCTGTACATTAATTGTTCAAATCAGATATTTAATTATCTTTATTTCAGCCAAAAATGAATACCGGAAGATCCAAACAGTTTTATGTGGTTGTTATGATAGTAATGGAATTGATGTAGGTAGGGGTGTTATCTAAAAACTTAAACAGATCTTTTTCTGAGAGAGAGAGAGAGAGAGAGAGAGAGAGAGAAGAGCGAGAGAGAGAGAGAGAGAGAGAGAGGAAGAGAGAGAGAGACGGCTGAATGATGAACGGACGGACAGGCAGGCAGGCAGGGAGACAGTCAGAGTCAAGTTTATGTTGAGATCTTTAGCGACTAGAGGAGCCGCTTAGAAAACCCAGCATTGTTAAAACAGGTCTCATCCCCATCACAGAAGACGTATACGACTACCGTAAGCCTTAATCTGTGAGTTACACCGACACCATTTATAAGAATTATCACCAGTATAGGCCTGGTAGTTATTTTTATATTTCTTTATATCTATATTTTATTATTTTTATAACTTGTTTACCTCCGATTGGTTTATTTTCTAGACGATACAAAACGTGAATATTTATTTTTATGTCTATTTTACCCCTGGGATTGATTTATTTTCTAGATGATACAACACATATTTATTTTACCCCTGGGATTGATTTATTTTCTAGACGATACAAAACGTGAATATTTAAAGGAAGCGAATCAAACCGAAGTTGAGAATTTCTTTATACCACAAGAAGATATTGGTAGCGGTAAGAACAGTGAAGAAGGCGGAAATGGTAAGAATACATAGAAGGGTGGTAGAAACGAGCAAAGTATATTTGAATTAAAACACACAGTTAGTCATAACATTTGCTCAACCAGAAGATAAATTATGAGTGCATGTTCTGATGTCGACAAAACGGTGCACCAACAAGTGAACCAGTTATCCATAACATTTAGAATATATTTTATACATAATCCGGATTCCACAAACTGGTGGACACCAGCAAATCAACAATAAAATGGATCTATCTTCTTTCTTCAGAGAAACTGATTTAACATTTGCCTTCGATGCATTTCAAACTATAAGATTAAACTTTTGGTGAAAAGGACATGACGTCTATAGGCATTTGTTAAGGCTATAGAACAGTAACGACAACTCGCCCAAACGGCCTACTCTTATATCGAATTCCAACTGTCAAGGGATCTTTTACGTGCACACCAGTGTGTACTCGGGACCTCGGTTTTTCGTCTCATCCGAACGACTAGACAGCTAGAGAACCACGCCAGAAAATCTGGATGAACTTTCCTTGCCAATACAGGGATCGAACACCCGACCTCCAGGCTAGCGAGCCAGCGTCTTACCCACTTCGCCACCGTGACCCCCAACAACTCGCCCAAAAACTGTTGTTGTAACTTTATATTTGGACATACACATGCCGACTGTCACGTCGATCGAACTTGCAATGTAAGAACTTCGGGTTTTTTTTCGAAGAACGTTGTTACCAAGAACAACAGCAACAAGATGAGTTTGAGATTGAGGACAACTTCCTGTTTTAACACAAATTATAAGGGAGACTACTCTCTTGATTCTAACCTACTGTTTTGAATATGTTAACATTTTTTTTTATCGAATTAATAATGTTCGAAAGACAATTAAAGGACAAAATTCTCCCACTTGGCATCCACTACTCTGTTGATTCTAACCTACTGTTTTGAATATGTTATCATTTTTTTTATCGAATTAATAATGTTCTAAAGACAATTAAAGGACAAAATTCTCCCACTTGGCATCCACACGTTACGTAACCCCTTAGAGTTAGGCCCCTTAGTATCTTAAACCATAAGGTCCATTGTGATTACGAGCACACGGTTCCGAACAAATAGTATTTATATTTTCTTGTTTAAAGAAATAACTGATATCTAATATCTTCTTGTTTAAAAAGATAATTAATTGAAATTGATATTTTCTTTTTTAATGAGACATTGATATTTTCTTGCTAAAAGAGTTAATTGATACTTCTTTGTTTAAAGAGCTGGCTTGCTAGCCTGGAGGTCGGGTGTTTGATCCCTGCATTGGCCGAGAAAGTTCATCCTGAATTTCCGACGTGGTTTCCCCTTGTCAGTGGTGCAGAACGGAGGGCCTGTCTAGTCCTTCGGATGAGACGAAAAACATAGGTCCCGTGTATATATTGATATGCACGTAAAAGATCCCTTGGCAGTTGGAATTCGATATAAGAGTAGGCGATAGTGCCGCTGCCCGGGCAAAATTTCCCCCATAGCACACTGTATGGCGTATGCCCGTCTTCATTAGCCCAGTATAGGAGCAGAACAGTAGGACGTTAAACCCCATTTCATTTCATTTTGTTGAAGGAGATAATGGATATTTGATATTTTCTTGCTAAAAGAGATAATTGATATTTCCTGGTTTAAAGAAATAATTGATATTTTCAGATAAGACGGTGTTTATAGTAGGAATAGTACTAGGAAGTCTATGTTTGATTATTGTCATCATCACTATAACCATTATTCTCATAAGGTTGGTATATATCTTTCTGATTTATTATTTGGCTGTTCGATTCCCTCCCATTGCAATAAAATTTATAATTTTACAATTAGTCCCAAATAACCCAGTTAGTCCGAATGAAAAACGGTAAACCCCCCATAGGAGGAAACCTGACAAACCGGAGAAATCCCACGAGGTTGTACAGGTGACTATACTCCTTGTCACGTACAATACGTGCCAAGGAATAGAATCGCCTGTCTAACCTCGTGGGTTTTCTCCGGGTCCTACGGTTTCCTCTCACTGCTTAAGACCCCTACGCGCAAGCGACTTATTGAATTAAATTGAAGCATGTGTTAGTCCCGAAATGACTTAGCTTGTGTCCAGTGGACGTTAAATCCACCTCTTTCTCTCTCTCTCTCTTTCTCTCTCTCTCTCTCTCTCCCCAGGTCTTATTATCTAAATGGGTCAACCAAATTAGAGATATAATGTTTGGTTTTGTCGGCTCGTTTCGTTAATACTTACTCCTTCAAGAAAACATGATATCAGTTCCATATTAAACACGTGAACAATTATACCCATTTAAAACTTGGCCTTTCTATCAATAAAGTTGTTTGATGTAGACGAGACGGTGAAGGTAACTTTCAATTGTCCTTTGTTTTTATAGGACGTGGAAAAGAAAGAAAACTAATACTGGTATGAAAACATCTACGCCCGTGTCCGATCCATCATCTGTTCACGATCAGCATTACTATCACTACGTAGAGCCCAATCATGTGGGCATTATCGGTGAAGTTGTAACCGGACGACAGGCAGATAACTACAACCATATCGGAGATATTAAAACCAGCAACCATGGAGATACTTACAACCATATTGGTTATATAAAAACCGACAGCCAGGCAAATACTTACAACCATATTGGTGATATGAACACGAGTAACCCAGGAGTTATCGGGTATATTAAAACCGGCGACCAGCTAGATACTTACAACCATATCGGTGATATTAAAACGAGCAACCCAGGAGATACTTACAACCATATCGGTGATTTTAAAACCACCGCCCCGACAGATACCAGCAACTACAACCATATCGCGGATATTAAAATCACCAACCAGGCAGATACCAGCAACTACAACCATATTGGTGATGTTAAAACCAGCAGCCAGGCAGATTCCAGCAACTACAGCCATATCGGGGATATTAAAATCACCAACCAGGCAGATACCAGCAATTACGACCATATTGGGGATAATAAAACCACCAACCAGTAGCCACCACCAGACTTCTCCCTTGGTTGTTCCTACACCCTTATAAACCTGTAACGGTAAATCTTTTTGATCTTTGGGGTATATTCTATGCCCAGAATAACTTGCGGTCTGAAAGTCAGGGGAGGTTTTGGATATATACAGGGAAATTTGGGTTTATTCTTTTGAAAGTTGTTCTTTAAACGTGTAGCGGTTCATTCTTCCCTGGTAGTTTTTTTCCATAAGAAAACATGAAAGAAGGTTTTTCTTACGGGAATTCTGGGATATTCTCATTTTGCGTACATGTAAACATAAACGGTTTATAAGCAAAATAAAGTCCTCGACTTCGGTTATGCTGGGAAAGAAAGACTTCAGAAAAGACCCTCGACAGAAAAACCTCGGCATGTCGGCCTCGGGGGTTCCTTTTTCTCGGGTTGTTTTCTTCAGTCTGTCTTTCCACAGCATCAGCTCAGTCGCGTGCTTTATCCTACAGCTCCTAATATTCACTCGTATCTCATGGTACTTGTACTTCTGACTTTTGATTCTGATTTCCCTTTTGATCGACAATATCGTGTTATATTTACTTAATTAGAGGAGATGAACTCCCTTTGATTTGGGTCAAATTACCTTAAGTTGATATTGAGTGCTGTATCGAATATTAATAATTCATTGTTTCTAGATCAGATTACCGATGTTCTAGAGCAGAGTGACCAAACTCATTTCGATTCAAGGGCCAAATGAACTAAAATGTTACATCAAGGCGGCCGGATGTAAAGATAAATATTGATATATTTCATTAAAATCGTTACTTATTATAATGCAATACAACATTTTGAAATAAACCAAATTAGCCATTTTTTATATCTTACACTGAATTCTTTTAAAAACAACCACAAGAACATTGTTAACATTCAGCAACAGATTGAATATACTTATATAATTCTAAGAATTATCGTAAGTCAGTTTGTTGAAATTTGTTCCACGGGCTACATTTAAACCCTTGGCGGGCCGAATTTGGCATCCTTGATCTAGAGTTGTTGTTATTGTTCTTAGTGTTTAACGTCCGCTTCCACCGAAGGGGATATCGCAGACAAGTTGTCTTTCGTTGTTTTCATTATATTAGCGTACGCGCAGGGGTCTTTCCTGTGGAAGGAAACCGGATTACCCGTAGTAAACTGACGAGGTTGAGAAGGCGCCCCTATCTCCAAGCCACATACGCTCAGAGATCGAGGCCACAACCGCAAGCCAGAGGTTACCGGCCAGCTAGAGGTCAAAGCGTGACACTGTAGACTACTAGCCCCCCCCCCTCCCCGGGCTAGAGAGTATGTTATGGGCTTATATAACATTTGAATCCAAAGATCAGATTTAGTTCTCATATAATGCATCTTTAAGCGAAAGTCAGTTCTCACATAATGCATCTTTAAGTGAAAGTTAGTTCTCACATAATGCATCTTTAAGCGAAAGTCAGTTCTCACATAATGCATCTTTAAGCGAAAGTTAGTTCTCACATAATACATCTTTAAGCGAAAGTTAGTTCTCACATAATGCATCTTTAAGCGAAAGTTAGTTCTCACATAATGCATCTTTAAGCGAAAGTTAGTTCTCACATAATGCATCTTTAAGCGAAAGTCAGTTCTCACATAATGCATCTTTAAGCGAAAGTTAGTTCTCACATAATGCATCTTTAAGCGAAAGTCAGTTCTCACATAATGCATCTTTAAGCGAAAGTTAGTTCTCACATAATGCATCTTTAAGCGAAAGTTAGTTCTCACATAATGCATCTTTAAGCGAAAGTCACCGTATTGATTAACTTTGTTTTGGCAAACTGGGTGGACAGTGGAATACAAAATCGCAACACCGAAACATGTCAACATGTAAAATCCAGTGAAATCAACAAGTTTAGTTTTGACCCAAATCGAAGAGATAATATCATTTTATGAACATTATGTATCATGTTTTAGTTTACAAAGGCATACAAATTCGAACCTTTGGCATATTTCATTGAAAGTATTGTATTTAAGGACAATAAGTATTTTTAGCTATTTGAGATGTTGAAGTTAGTCTGTTTAAAAATTGAATGTTATTTTGAGCTATGTTGATATTTTTTTAGCTATGTTGAGTTATTGTATTTGCAGAATATGTTCAGTTATTTTTAGCTATGTTAAAGAATATTTTGATTTTGTTTTTAGCTATGTTGCATTAATTTGAGCTATGTTATGTTGCATTATTTTGAACTTTGTTGCTTTGAGTTATTTTGAGCTATGTTATGTTGAGTTATTTTGAGCTCTGTTATGTTGAGTTATTTTGAGCTATGTTATGTTGAGTTATTTTTTTTAACTATGTTAAAGTTATATGAGGCTATCTTAACGTTATTGAATTCAAGGAATATGTTGAGTTATTTTGAGCTATGTTGAGTTTTTTTTGAGCGATGTTGAGTTATCTTTACCTATATGTTTGTTATTTTATTTAAGTTATTTTAAGGTATTTACGGTTATTTTGAGCTATTTTGAGCTATTTTGAGTTATTTTGAGCCACTTTGAGTTATTTTGAGCCATTTTGAGTTATTTAGAGCTTTGTTGAGTTGTTGTCAGCTATGTTAAAGTTATTGTATTTGAGGAATATGTTGAGTTATTTTTAGTTATGTTAAAGAATATTTTGAGTTTTTTGTTAGCCATGTTGAATCATTTTGAGCTAGTTTTTATATTTAAGGAATATGTTAAGTTATTTTGAGCTATGTTGAGTTATTGTTAGCTATGTTGAGTTATTGTTAGCTATGTTGAGTTATTTTGAGTAAGAACAGTGGGGGGGTAAAACATGCTTTGGGCCCAGTTGTATAATATTATTTAATGGACTAATGCTTACTTTTTTCAAAAAATTTGTTCTTTTGCTGTCTTGAGATCAACCTCGGTTGTATCAGTCCACAACGTCTGTATATTGCGTTATGTATATTGCCGTTATATGTATATTGTCATTATATGTATATTGTCATTATAATATGTATATTGTCGTTATGTGCATATTGTCATTATAATATGTATATTGTCGTTATGTATATTGTCATTATATGTATATTGCCATTATGTATATTGCTGTTATATATATTGTCATTAATTGTATATGTATATTTTTGAATTTATTTTTACACTCTTCTTTTCATGTCAGTTATATAAATATTTTTGAAAGATATAAGATATATTGTAACACCATGCTTTAATTAGTCGTTTGGATAGGACAAAAACATAGGCGTACAGGTAAAAGATCCCCTGGCAGTTGGAATTCGATAGACCATAGCGCCGCTGTTCGGGCACAGTTTCCCCGCATAGCACACTGCATCGTGTATGCCAGTCTTCAGTAGCCCAGTCGAAGCAGAACACGAGTTCAGACTAAAATGTTGCGGGTTCGAATCTACTAGCGGCTGCTAACAGCTGTCCCGGTGCACACGTGCAGTTTCTAGATTTAATTTAAGTAGTACCCCATATCCACCCCAGCGTGAGACTTATGCGTCACTTGCGTGTGCGTGTTCGGCACCGTAGAAGATCACAGACTGACCGTAGAGACTTATGGCCCTGCACATACAAAATTATCACTCGGTCTCTTGCGGCTGATCTGTCAGTTACCAAACACCACGAGCCGTGCGTCTCAAAACACGTACGGTGGGGTGTGAAATGAAATGAAATTTAACGTCCTACTGTTCTGCTCCTATGCTGGTCTAATGAAAACTGTGTGCTATGAGGGAAATTTTGCACTGGTGGAAAACCCGATGAACGTTCTCGACCAACACCGTCATCGATCACGCGACCGCCATGTAAAGGCTAGCTCACACCCCACCGGTAGCCACGGTGGCTAGGTGGTTAAGACGCTGGCTCGGTAACCCGGAGGTTCAATCCCTGCATTGGCCGAGAAAGTTCATCGGGATTTTCCGACGTGGTTTCCCCTTGTCAGTGGTGCAGGACGGAGGGCCTGGCAAGGACAGCTGTCCCGTCGTTCGGGTGGGTTGAAAAGCCAAAGGTCCCGTATACTCATTTATGTGCACGTAAAAGATCCCCTGGCAGTTGGGATTCAATATAAGAGCAGGCTGTAGCACCGCTGTACTAAAATCTCCCTAATACCACACTGTATGGCGTAAACCCGTCTTACTTAGCCCATTCGGAGCAGAACAGTAGGCCTTAAACCCCATTTCATTTCATTAATGTACGTTATTTTTATCTAAGATTACACAATGTTCATTAATGCGTTAGCATACTCTGCGCCATGCTCGATACCCGATGTGGTCTTGGTGCAGTGTGATCAATAGGTGGAACCAAACTGTTCAGTAGCCATAGGAGATATAGGGATCAACGATTATTTATGATCACGGTAAAACTGATTGTGGAACTTTCATTGAAACATTCAATATTTTCCTATACAATTAACGGGTGCAATGTCAGTCAGGTTTAATATGTATACGACAACCTATCATAGTATTGACTATTGTGCAGTAATAATACACAGTTTGATATACACGGCTGTCGGTACACAGATTATAACTAAAGCTATTTAATGTTAGAGGAGAATAATGATATGCATAGACCGTTACGTCTACTCGACACAAACCAGGTCAGTGTCGACACAAACTATGACTGTAGGGACACTAAAATAATAATAATCAGAGCTACTCGTATCAGAGATAGTCGGTAGAGACATGAGGTTTAACGTCCACTCGAAACAACCTAGGTCGATTTAAGATAAAAGAGAGAGAGAAATGGGGTTTAACGTCCACTCGACACAAACTAGGTTATTTCAGGACTAACATATGGTTTAATTTTATTTCAATAATTCGCTTGCGCGTTGGGATCTTTAGCCGTGGAGGAAAACCGGAGGACCCGGGGAAAACCCACGAGGTTGGACAGGCGACCCTACTCCTTGTCACGTACAACCGGTGATTCGAAACCACGCCAGTCGACACTAGATGAATTTAACACAATAAGTATCACCACGGTCAATAGTTGTTGAATCATTTCAAATATCAAATTCAGTGTCACTATGACATAAAAAGAAATATATAATTCATTCAATGTAAAAATGTATACGAGTGTTTCAGTTATATTAATCGATGACATGATATCTATTTTCATTTTGGACGTGGATTTATTGAAGGATATTTTACATAGTCATAGGTAACATTGGTTGTTAGTCTATTTTTAAAGTACTATGTTCCCGATTTATTAAGTAATAAACAAGTATATAAGTATACAATATATATGAACGAATACTCTTACCTGAAATACACACCTTCGTGATGTATATTATGTGATTGAAATCCCTTTTTTCAGTTTAAGCAACAACGATAAATACTTGCTTGAATAAAATGCACTGCTCTCGAACGAACGCGAGTTGAATTAGAGTTACCTCCCTTTGATCATCATTCAATATCAAATAAAGTAGATAATACATGGTTACAAATAATACATCTAATAAACAATGAGATCTTTTTTCCAAAAGATGAAATGAAATGGAGCTTACCGTAGCGCAAGATTAACAACTGGGCTCACATAAGGGGGCCCAGGGCCCTTCACATAAGGGGGCCACTACAAAACAATCTCAGTTGCGCAGAAAGCGATGTGAGCATGGTCAGAACGCGGACAACATCTACTAGTGGCAATAATGGGGCCCGCCGAGGCCTCCCATAGAATTTTAAAGTCCTGGACATTGGGGCCCTTTCAATCCATTGTGGGCTCGTAGCGGGATAATTGTATCAAGAAAATGCATAAAAACCCTCTTTAGCGGCATATTTTGGTTACTTGTTGTGCTACTAGGAGGTGGATTTGAATCCATTTATATTCGGCAGCGTTTACCGTGGGTACTATGTTGGTATCTGCTCGTCTTTGTTCCACCCACATTCGTTCTGGATTAAGGAAGACGTCCGGGGCCAGCGCGTTCGCTTCGAGTCGTCCCGAGCGGATGACAGAGTTTCACCTCTCCCCGCCCGTACGCTCGTCCCCACCGTTCCTCTCGAATCCTAGCTCTCGGGCGAAACCGACAGCGAAAGCGACATCGCCAAGTCGGTCGGACGACCCTCCTGAAAAGAGCATCCCCGCTTATTCCATACACGAAATATTCAGGCTCGGGGTTTTAGTCTGCCTTTAGTTTTTTTCAAGGTAGACAGAAAATGCTGCGGTTTCTCTCCCGCGAAGTTGAAAAATGAGGCAGGACCGCGCGCCGGTTAGGGACGGCCGACAATTCGCCGGTCGGACCCGCAGCGTATTCCGCCCGACCGTACCCCCTCCGAGATCCAACGACGAGCTTTTTAACTGCAGCAACTCCGATATAGGCTATTGGAGCTGGAATTACAGCGGCTGCTGGCACCAGGCTTGCCCTCCAATAGCTCCTCGCACACTCTTTTAAATTGCGCTCATTCCGCCCGCGGCGACCACGAAAGGGCCCCACCACGTTATTTTTCGTCACTACCTCCCATTTCTATTTATGTCTTTAAACCGTTCATATGACTTTAATGGCGTAGAAAGGTCACTAAAAGAGTTCAGTGATCAATGGAGGAACACTCTTCTTTTCTTGCCTATGGAACTACTCTGCTGCAACAAAAAATATCGCAGTGTGTCCAAACTTCATTGAATTACGATACCTACAGACAAGACAGGGATAAGATATAGATATATTCATTGGCAAGATTCATCATATTCATTGTGTGTACATTTTTTCATGAAGATTCAACAACAGGAAGGGGGCCAAATGAAGCCAAATATGAAGACATCTTTCGCCGCCATTTCTTCTATGCGATGATCCCCGCCGGTAGCAGAATCACTAATCAAACACCTACGGCTGGTGTATGATACATGACAAAAACAAACCGCTTCAAAAATCATAACGTTTACAATCCCTTCAAAAATCCTCATTCTCGCCTGACCCATATATAAATTCGAAATATCTAAGTAAGGTAGGCTATAAAGAAATTACAAATATTATACATGCTAAATTATTAAATAATATAAGGACTAAACGCCGAAGAATACGTCCAACCTCGTGGGTTTTCTCAGGGACCTCCAGTTTCCCCCCACTGCTAAAGACCCCTACGCGCAAGCGAATTATTGAAATAAAATTAAAAACCATATGTTAGTCCCGAAATGACCTAGTTTGTGTCGAGTGGATGTTAAACCCCATTTCTCTCTCTCTCTCTTTCCAAAGAATACGAGTCCATAAAACAACTTTCATCGATTTACCAGAATCAAAAAGATAAAATTGCGGTTATAGATTACTAGTGACATTTTTGACAGATTCTGCGTTATAAACGCGAATATAAATGGGTTCAAATCCAGCTCCCAGTAGCACAGCAAGTGGGCTGACCAAAATATACCGCTAAAGAAGGTTTGTATGCATTTTCTTGATACAATTATCCCGCTACGGGCTCACGTACGGGCCCACAATGGATTGAAGGGGTCCCAATGTCCAGGACTTTAAAATCCTATGGAGGGCCTCAGTGGGCCCCATTATTGCCATTAGTAGATGGTGTCATCGTTCATGCTTACATCGCTTTTTAGCGCAACTGAGATTTTTTTGTGGTGGCCCCCTTATGTGAAGGGCCCTGGGCCCCCTTATGTGAGCCCAATTGTTAATCCTGCGCTACGGTAAGCTCCATTTCATTCCATCTCTTGGAAAAAAGATCTCATTGTTTATTAGATCGGAATGTATTATTTGTAACCATGTATTATCTACTTTATTTGATATTGAATGAATGTCAAAGGGAGGTAACTCTAATTTAACTCTTTTATTTAGTTTCGTTAGAGAGGAAGTATTTATCGTTGTTGCTTAAATTGAATAAAAGGGATTTCAGTCACATAATATACATGTCGAAGTTGTGTATTTAAGGTAAGAGTATTCGGTCATATATATTGTATATTTATATACTTGTTTATTAATTAATAAATCGGGAACATATTACTTTAAAAAAAGAATAACAACCAATGTTACTTATGACTATGTAAAATATCCTTCCATAAATCCACGTCCAGAATGAAAATAGTTATCATGTCATCGATTGAAATGAAATGAAATGCTGTTCTTATTGTTTAACGTACGCTTCCACCGAAGGTGATATAGCAGACAAGTCTTATTTTCCTTTATTTGTATTATCTTAGCGCACGCGCAGGGGTCTTTCCTGTGGGTGCAAACCGGAGTACCCGGAGTAAACCCACGAGGTTGAGAAGGCGCCCCTATCTCCAAGCCACATACGCTCATACCAGCGATCGAAACCACAGCCGTAAGCCCTAGGTGACCGGCCTGCTAGAGGTCGAAGAGCGGAACTCTAGACCACTAGGCCATCCCAACCCCCCTGAAATGAAAATGGCTTTAACTTCAATTGTGTGCTCCGACTCGGCTAATGAAGACGGGCATACGCCATACAGTGTTACATTGAAGTGTTTATGTCCTAGTGACACTGAATGTGTTTGTATATTATTGTATGTTATTCAACAACTCTTAATCTCAAATTGACCTAGGATGTGTCGAGTGGACGTTAAACCTCATGTCTCTACCGACTATCTCTGATACGAGTACCATGATTATTATTATTTTAAAATCCACCTAGCGCCACTACAGTCATAGTTTGTGTCGAGTAGAGGTTACGCTCTATAAATATCACTATTCTCCTCTTACATTAACCGGATACTGACAGCCGTGTATATCAAACTGTGAGTTATATACTGCACAATATTATGATAAATTACACATGTTAAACTTGACGGACATTACACGCGTTAATTGTATAGGACAATATTGAATGTTGGAAAAGTCAGTTTGCCATTTTTGATGAATTAAAGCTCCACAATCAGTCTTTACAGTGATCATAAATAATCTTTGATCGCTATGTCTACAGATCACACTGCACCAAGAGAATGCCGGGTGTCGGGCGCGAGACAGAGTATGCTAACCCATTTATGAACCATTGTGTAATCTTAGATAATAATAATGTACATTAATAAAATGGGGTTTAACGTCCTACTGTTCTGCTCCGAATGGGCTAATTAAGACGGACTTACGCCACACAGTGTGCTATGGGGAACATTTTGCTCGGACAATGGCGCTATAGCCTACTCTTATATATAATTCCAACTGTCAAGGGAACTTTGTCGTGCACACCAATGTGTACACGAGACCTCGGCTTTTCGTCCCATCCGAACGATTAGAAATATGTCCTTGTTAGGCCCTACGTCCTGCACCACTGACAAGGGGAAACCACGCCGGAAATCCCGATTAACTTTCTCGACCAACACCCGGATGCAACCCGCGACCTTCAGACTAGCCAGCCCGCGTCTTATTCACTTAGCCACAGTGGCTCCCAAACCCAATAATAAACTACTGTGTAATCTGAGATAATAATAATAATGCACATTTGTTGAGCGCTAAATCCATCCAAAAGCATGCTCAAAGCGCAATGAGAAAATAGTTCTATACTCTTTGAGAGGGAAGTCTAATTCCCGAAATAAGCAAGTGATTATACATGTACTCAACTTCAAGTTATAGTCATAACATTTTTAACAATATTGTTCATCCGAATTTCTATTTGTTCTTGATAGTACACAAAACTGATTACAGTTCAGACTGGCATTGACACCGACACAGCAGATACTAAAAATAGCTCAAACATGTCCATATTGATCTAAAACAAGATAATCAAAAAATACTCCTAAAACTCTTCAAGCTTTTTCACACAGTAATCACATAGTTCTTATTTAAACTATACATATGTTTCAGAAATCAAGAGAAATATCACTTTCCACTCAGAGCAAAATAACCCAGCTGCAGCCACAAGGGGCGCATAACTCTGTAAGTAGTGATTTTTCTAGCTTGGGGGGTATTAACGTATACAATTCGTTTATTAACTACTGTCTGAGCCTTGCTATTTTATGAACAGATTTCTTCGATTATGAACAAACTATTTAACTTTGGTTATTATAAACTTACCTGTGTGTTTGAAATCAACTCCGGTTAAATAAAATCCATTGCACAATTAAATATCCCAACGAATAAAAAAGTTCTCTCTTGAAAAATTGAACTCCCACAAACTTTTGGCAATACTAAAATGGAACCCGATTACGTCACTCTTCGGGAGATATCATTTCGTATAAAAGGGTAACAGCAAGCTACATCGAAACGGTTTACGGTACATTTACGACAATTCGTGGTATTAGCCTCGGCTCGGTATTGAGTTTGGGTGGTCGGCCCGTATCTCTTTACTTTATTACTATCTTTTTACATTCTAGATAAGGGAATATATTATTTGTGTTAATAATTCACGCAACAATGGTTAAATGTCTTAGCCAGTAAAGTGTTCAACAATAGTTAAAGGTCTTAGCCAGTAAAATGCCCAACATTGGTTAAAGGTCCAATTCGGTAAAGAGCTCTAAAGCATTGATGGAATCTAAAATTGTAAAAAAGGGAACCTAGCGATGAGGAGAAACATAACTACACAATACTATTATACATAAAATAATTTTATTATTTTACAGCAATCTGGTTAAAACACAGATCCTATTTCGTTTCGTTTTTATAGTTCAAAATTTCGTTTTACTTGTCTTTACTACACTTGGATCTGGAAGAGTTGTTATTTAACTCGTGTTCTGAATGGTGTCAGGGATAAGCCAATGAAACGGTCTGTTACGGCGAGCTTTGGGCGTGTTTTTCACGGAACTGTGGGTAATCCACTAGTAACATCAATGCTGATTGGTTAATCAAATGTCTGACGTCATAGGGTCATAAGTCGGTCTTTTGACCCCTGACGTGACCTATCGCTATAACTTGTCAGATCTTCATGTGGTGTAGGCCATCGAAAGTATAAAAAAACGAAACGAAATATAGATCTGTCTTTTAATCAGATTGATTTTACAGTGGTTGATTTATTTCATTAGTACAACAGTTAAACAAGATGAACCCAGTTGAAATGGGAGATTCAACGGGATGAATTCTGATGATACTGGAGAGAGGTTGAACGGGATGAATCCTGATGATATTGGAGAGACGTTACCAGAGATGAATCCTGACGGTATGGGAGAGAGATTACCCGAGATGAATCCAGCTGATATTGGAGAGATGAATCCTGATGATATTGGAGAGAGGTTACTCGAGATGGAACTATATGAATTAATGTTAAATTGTGGCAGGTTGGTGTCTATATTTTAAACTAAATCTGATCCATTTGGTTTATGTGGTGAGTGGTTGTGGGAGAGGGTAGTATAATAAAGTCGTATTGAATAATAGAGCCTTAAAAGACAATAAAGCACAGCCTTAAAGGATAATAGGGCCTTAATAGATTTAAAAAGGTGTGTAGGAAAAAAAGGCTCTAGGATTATAAAGCCTAATATGATCATAATGTTTTAAATGATTCTAAAGTCTTAAGGTATACTAAAGTCTTTGAGGATAATCAAACCTTATACTATAAATAATAAAGCCTTAATGTAAAATAAAGCTGTTATTTTTGGGTTTCATTATTTGGTACAAATTTGATGTCTTGTAACGAATTCGTGTAGTCTACATTTTTTGTCTGTTAAGCGTCTTGTCAGTCAAGGCTATTTGGTGGGGCGCCTGCGCATTGGTCGAAGTAGTAGGCTTCAGGTGTTGTGATCCAGCCATCATGGATGGCTTGGTAGAAGCAGTCTCATATCGTTTTTTCACCGACAAATGGTGACGAACGGCGAAAAGTGAAAATTATGTGAGAGAATCTGTGAACATTATGTTTCATTCGTGAATCATGCCAAGTGGGTTATGATGTGATATTCATTATTCAATGATAAACTCTATGTAAATCTGTCCTGAAATTCGTCAACACTGTGACTGACAACAGATATCAACCATGAACCGTGAACATTTTATAATGTAGAACTCAATATAGTGAACCTGTAAGTTAATGCAACAACTCAATCACACTATACATGTATGATTGATTATGTTTATACGTGTAAAGCAAATGTCTTCATCATATAAAGACATTCTAATTTAAGACTTTCTTATTGTTAACTGATTGTCTCCCTTCTACTTCTGGTAGCTAGGAGTTTTAGCCATTTTGGGAATCAGACCACATCTATGATGAACCGTCGCTTATGCTAGTTGCTAAATGTTGCGTTGAATGATGCTATGGCATTAAACTTAAACCGTCTTTATTATATTTCAGATTAGGCGAAATAGCTGCTCACCAAAGTGTTCATATATCAGATATACCGACAACATTATCACCCCAGGAAATGAATGGATCTATAATTAAAGCTGCTAGACGTGGAAAGTATAGACTTATTATATATATGATAGATCATTGTGTTGATATACCGATACAATATGAAGATAATATGGATAACAATTTATTACACATAGTTTTACATAGTTACCCTTCACCATATCACACTGAGAATAAAGACGCGTTGTTACAGTGTGTGATTAAATTAATTGAAACTGGTGTAGATGTCAACCATCTGAATAAATATAAAGAAACACCTATAGATACAGCTGCTATGTACAGGTTGTATAACATTGTTATATATCTGATAGATCACTGTGTTGGTATACAGTATACTGATAGGAAACAATATAATGTCTTACACTTAGTTTTATGTGGTGCAGGGAAATATGGTGAAATAGAAAGAGATGAGTTGTTAAAGTGTGTAATTATATTAGTGGAAGCTGGTGTAGATGTCAACCATCTGAATCAATACCAACAAACACCTATTTTTATAGCTGCTAGTGAGGGGTTGTATAACATTGTTATATATCTGATTGATCACTGTGTTGATATACAGTATACTGATAAGGAACATAATAATGCCTTGCACTTAATTTTACATAGTGCATGGAAATATGGTAAATTAGACAGAGATGAGATGTTAAAGTGTGTAATTAAATTAGTTGAAGCTGGTGTAGATGTCAACCATCTGAATAACGACCAAAAGACACCTATAGATATAGCTGTTCCCAAGGGATTATATAACACTGTTATATATCTGATAGATCATTGTGTTGGTATACAGTATACTGATAAGGAACAGAATAATGTCTTACACTTAGTTTTATATAGTGCAAGTCATTGTGGTGAAATAGAAAGAGATGAGTTGTTACAGTGTGTGATTGAATTAGTTGAAGCTGGTGTAGATGTCAACCATATGAATCAATACGAACTAACACCTATAGATATAGCTGCTAATAGAGTATTGTATAAAGTTTTACTGTATTTGTTAGGACATGGGGCACATGTACATTATATTAATAAATATGACCAGAATATTCTGCACCATGTATTAAATAGCATACAGAATATTAACGAGGAAGATGTAGACCAGTATTCAGACGATTGTATTCAGGTTGTTAAAACTTTGATAAATATGGGAGTAGATGTAAACAAACCCAATTTTTCTGGTAACACTCCACTGTTTAATGCAATATCCTGCATAAAATCGACTGAATTATCAGAACAAAGTAATATATTATACTTCAGATTACAATATAATTTGTTTACTGCATTCTTCAATGGGGGCTGTAATAAGAATCATCAAAATAGAGAAGGGCAAACGCTATTAATGTACTATACAAAAAGGCAAGCTGATATCCGTATCTTAAAACTGATGATTCAACACTCTGATTTAAATCTGATAGATAATAATGGTAATACAGCGTGTAGTTATTGTGTTCAATATCGTGAGTTGGATTGTACTAATATATTTAAACTTTATTCTCCCCATGTACTGATGTCACCTAACAACGGAGTGAAATTACTGCACCAGATTCTCGCTCGTAAAAGGTTGCAGCTGTTCAATTATTACATGGGATTAGAGTTAATTGTTAAAGGCGTTACAGCAGAAGGAGAAAATATGCTACATCTGTTAGCTAGAGTAAACTATGATTATTCCCCAAAGAGGTTTAACTGGTTGTTTAATAAAAAGCTAGACATAAACCATCGATGTTCTAAAACCAACACACCCACTATGATAGCTGCCCTCTTATTGAATAGTAAATGTTTAGAACTATTCACACGTCATCCTAGAATAGACATCAATGCACAGAATAAACAGGGTCACACAGCTCTTCATCTATGTATCATTGGATTTACTCTGATTAAAGATGGCTTGAATGAGAGACAGGAAGATGACGTTGTTGAGGATTACTGTAGACAGATATATCCAATATACATGGAGTGTATTGATATTTTATTGGCTGCTGTTGGTATCGATGTAAATACTCAGGACGGGAGAGGTAGAACGTCTTTGATGGTGGCGGCAATGAAAAACGATAGATTTCTCATAAGGAAATTACTTAATGCTGGTGCACTGGTTAGTTATGGTGGAAAATCTGCTTTACATCATCTAGATATTTATGAGAGTGTGTTTGATCTAAGTTTTAAAAGACTTGTATCTGCTGGAGATAATATGCTTCTCAATTTACACTGTAATAATGGCGACACACTAATCCAAGCGACCTTGTGTTTTCCACGTTCTTGGGATCCACGTACGGCTGTTAGTTTTATTAAATATTTAGTCGGTGAAAACTGCTGTCTTCAGTCTCTTATTACATCTTCAGTTGAAAGTAGTTATAACCAGATTGATATGAGAGAACTCAGCAGTCAAGAGAGAGGTGAACTGAGAAAACTTTTATATATTAGTGGAGCTCCTGAAAACGAAATTATAGCAACTTTACATTTTGAGAAAGAAGAAACAAATGTAGAGAGAGATGACATGGAAAGACTTTTATTTCTTAGAGGGGCTCCAGATGAAGAAATAGCACAACATTTAAATTTCCAGGAAGAAGATAAAGATGATCCAAATGGCACATTCCACTCACGACACCGAGAGATATTCACTAACTACTGTTGTAATATATCTCTCAAGTCTCAGTGTAGGAGAATCATCAGACAGAAGCTAGGATTGGGTATAAAGGAGAAGGTTATGGATCTAGAACTGCCTAGAGAATTAAACGACTTTCTCCTGTTAAAAGATGTTCTTCATCCTAAAGATTACAACATAGATAATATTGATGATGGTTGTAATGATTTTGATGATGATGATGGTTATAGTGACTATGATATAGCTAAAGATGGCGACGATGATTATAGCCAATATAACTACCAGTATTCCACTCTCAATACTGATGATGAGCTCAGAAACGATTATGTGAAATCCAAGAAATTAACAGTATTTAACGCCCACAGCCTAGTAAACACAAAGTAAAATTCTTAATATTAGGAATAATTTCACTGATAAAAATTCCATTCATGACCATGAGATTGACATTTCGAGTGCTGTGAACAGATTTGAAATATTGTCTCAGGACGAAATCTTTCGTGTCATAAAATCTATGCCAACAAAATCATGTGCCTTGGACCCATTGCCAACACAGATACTGAAAGATCAGCTTCCGGTATTACCCCCGACTATTTGTGACATCATAAACTCTTCGTTTAGATCCGGAACATTGCCAGATATCTATAAACATGCCAATGTAATCCATCTCATCACGAAACCCTCGCTTGATCCAAACCAAGTCAAGAACTATAGGCCGGTATCCAACCTAAGTTTTGTGTCGAAAGTTCTAGAGAAATCATCGCAAAATAATTGATTGGTTATATATCTGAATTTAGTCTTCTCAGCACCTATCAAAGCGCCTACCGTCAATATCATAGCACAGAAACTGCACTGTTAAAAGTACAAAATGACATTCACTTGTACATTGATAATCAAAGCTGTGTGTTATTGCTGCTTTTAGATCTTTCTGCAGAATTTGACACGGTTGACCACAAGGTGCTGTTCTCACGACTTGCTGGTGAATTTGGTGTAACTGGTTTAGCTCTTGAACTACTTAAATCTTATTTAACAAATCGTTCCCAATCTGTCATTATACACAACAAACAATCTGACAAAAAAGATCTGAGCTTCGGTGTACCCCAGGGCTCAGTTTTAGGCCCTATATTGTTCAGCATATACACCACCCCATTGTCCAAAATTATTGAGAAACATGGTCCGCAGTTCCAACTCGACGCAGATGACACTCAGTTGTATCTGTCTTTTAAACCCTCTCTGTCTGGAGATTTCAATACATCAAAATATCAAATTGAAGAGTGTATTAGTGAAATTCGTGTATGGATGTGAATCAATTTCCTTAAACTGAACTACGAAAAGACTAAATATATTCTTTTTGGATCAAACAGTTTAGTGTCTAAGTTGGTGAGCATGAAATAATCCCAACATCCTCAGCCTGTAACATTGGTGTTATCTTTGACAGTGAACTATCCTTGGAGAAACAAATTAGCAATATTTGCAGATCTTGTTATTTTCAACTGAGGAATATAAGTAAAATCAGTAAAAATTTGCAAGTTGAGTCCATCAAAACTGTTGTTCAGGCGCTTGTCACATCACGATTAGATCAATGTAATTCGTTGCTTATTGGTTTACCATCTCGTCTCACTGATAAATTGCAAAAGGTTCAGAACGCGGCAGCTTGACCCATTACCAGAAGTATATAATGATCATATCACCCCTGTTTTAATTCAACTTCACTGGTTACCCATTGTTTTTAGAATTCAATATAAGGTCATTCTTTTAACTTTTAAATGTTTAAATCATATGGCACCGTTGTATTTATCGTCTCTTTTAGATATTTATTCCCCTACTCGTACATTGAGGTCCTCAAGTGATCATTATTCACTTGTCTGTAAAACAGCTAAACTGAAAACTTACGGTGAACGATCGTTTACAGTGTAGGCCCATACACTGTGGAAATAGCTCCCCTTTACTCTCAGAAGTTCTACCTCTTTGTCGAGTTCTACCTCTTTGTCGAGTTTTAAATCGCAATTGAAAAAACACTTTTATTTAAACAAGCTTTTGATTTATAGATTTATTTTTACCGCTTTAAATTTAATCAATTATTATAGATTTTTAAATGTATGTTTTAATTTTAATTTTTTTTATGTAATGTATATTGTACAGCGCATCTGAACACATTTTGTGAAAACGTGCGCTATATAAATGATAATAATAATAATAATAATAATAATAATAAAAACAAATTGCACTGTAGATGTTATCTTTTGATTATCATGCAGTAGGGTATTGTGGGTGTATGAATACAAGTCTCCAGAAATCGGCACCTTGAAGGGTTCTATATAATTGGCAGGAATTCAAAATTTGAAGAACATTTAAATAACGACTAAACCGGTGACTTCTCACCATAGAATGTATTATGGACATGCCTAGAAACATGCAATCTCCTAAGCAGAGTTATCTTCTCTTGTAGTTCACAGTTCGAATGCTGAATAGCGAGACTTGTGTTGAGAATGAGAAACATGTACCCAACGAGTTTTATGTCTGACGTCATTATGCCATATCGTCATTATTGCATCATAATAATGTAGAGGTAACGACCACTATAGATCAGTGGTTATGTCTGACGTCATTATGCCATATCGTCATTATGGCGTCATGCTGAGGCTCCGCAACCAGTACGAAGTCCGAACTACGAACACGGCTTCGTAGGCCTACTTCGTACTTCGTTTTTGACAGATTTCCGTTTCTGCCAAAATGCGAAGTCCGAAGTACGATCTTTAGTTCCACGTTTGTTCACCTGAAATAAGGAATAACACTGTTTAGTTTGGTTAAATAAAAACTATCAAATCAAATCAAATTTTAGTCCTCAAGAAGCTCATTGCAATTTGTTTTACTTTTTATCAAATTCGAGATGATTCGATCTCATCGCCGACTGTCGGGGGAAAAAAAAAACACAGCCCGAAAATTTGCCCAAAATCAGAACAGTTACCGACTACTTTGACGCTGATCAACCTTCTACTGAATTATAAATTTCAATCTTTCTATAAACCGAAAAATATACGAATTTCATCCACAAATCAGCGAGAAGATCACGATGTCGTACTTCGTTTTTTAACCACGAACTTTTCGCGATTTCTTAGTAGAAAATGGACGAACCGAACGCCGCTTATGTCAATGACATCACACGAAGTGATGACGTCAGCACATAAACACTTCGTAGTTCGTAGTGTCTGCGGAACCTCACTATTGTAGAGCTAACGACGAGTATGCGAAGAGACGATTTTACGACCATTTCTCTGGCATACCCATCGCTAACGGGAATAGAAATAAACATAAGAAATATCATCAAATAAAATCTTTCAAATGTTGACAACGAAATGAAGCCATCTTCTTCATCACTGTTTTTCTGCATGTAACAGTTCAAAGTATTGCCAGAACATTCAGGGCTATGGTACATTCTAACCCAACTTTCTGCACTCTGTTTTATAACCACATCTGTTTGTGTTGTTCTTTTTTTTTGTGGGGTGGGGGGTGGATGGCCAAATGCATCCTAAGGTCTGCCATTGACTCAACTGGCGTGGTTTCAATTCCCCGGCTGAACCCTACGCGCAATTGAAATAAAATTGCGCCATGTGTTGGTCCCGAAATGACCTAGTTTGTATCGAGTCGACGATAAACCCATCCTCTCTCTCTCTCTCTCCCTCTCTCTTTATCTCTCTCTCTCTCTCTCTCTCTCTCTCTCTCGCTCGTTTGTGTTATGGCTTTATTTTAGCTAATTTTTAAAAGCCTGATAATAAACTTACCTCATTGACTAAGAATGGATATAAAGGAGATTTCAATGATTTTCTTCTATAAAGGTTATAACATGTACTATATCGGTTGATGATCGGTGATGATGATGATGAATATCAATTATTTTTAATGATAATAATAATAATCTGAATACTAATGGTAGAATCGTAGATAGTTTAATATCTAAATACTATTATATGGAATAACACAAATGCGTTCAAGTAGTTCATGAAAATAATCTTGATAATATGAAATGTAGCTATCATGCATATTGTTCTTGTACATGTATATAAAATATATTCTGTCATGTTTATACATATATATTGTTCTTGTATATAAAATATATTCTGTCATGTTTATAAATATATATTGTTCTTGTATATAAAATATATTCTGTCATGTTTATAAATATATATCATTTACGTATATAAAATATATTCTGAAAACCTTTACACGGCTTGTACTTTATTTGGTCAATAAAATAAACAGGGATACAGGGATATCCTACAGCATATGATCATACCTGTCCAGACAATAAAACACCATTATGGGTTGAACAGAAAGTTGGCGAAACATTTAACGTTATGGCAAAATATCCCATGTAAAGCTGGCAACTCCATTTTAGCAAGCTCAAGCTCAAATCAGGCAATATATTCTACATTTTCCTGAAAGCCATTACGAGTGTTTTACGATAGTTTCTTTATTTTCCCCAAAAGAAACCCAGCTTTGCCATTTTATAGTCAAGGAACTTTTGAACAAATCAGGACAGGTACACCCAATCAGCATACCATGTATGGCTGAAACCCATCAAGGAAGGAATTGGTGGAAGGCCGAATGGTTAACTCGTGTGCCTTGTTTTAAGTGCCGTGGTTTCGATTCTCTGCTTGTACGTGACAAGGAGTTGGGTCGCCTCGTCGGTATTTTCAAGGGCCAAAGTTTTGTTCGTACGGATAACGACCCCTACACGCAAGCGAATTATTGAAATACAATTGAACAATATGTTAGTCCCGAAATGGCCTCTTTTGTGTCGAGTGGACGTTAAATCCCTTCGCCTGTGAGCCCTACAGCTGTTCTTCTCCCTTTCCCTTGTGAGCCCTACAGTGGGTGTTCCTCCCTTGTGAGCCCTACAGCTGGATTTCTTCCCTTCCCTTGTGAGCCCTACAATCAAGCTGTTTCGAAAATGACTAATTATTAATGATTGACGGACGAACAGAAGTGACGACGGCATGATGTGCTTTCTCTTTGTTTTGATATTGGCGAACGACGGTTTATCGTCCTATTGTTCTGTTCGGACTGGGCTAATGAAGACGGACGCACGCCATGCAGTGTGCTATGAGGGAAATTTTGCCCGGACAGTGGAACTACGGACTACTCTTATTTCGAATTCCAACCGTCAAGAGACCTTTCACGTCCACGTCAATGTGTTCAGGGGACCTCGGATTTTCGTCCCATCCGAACCACTATACATTGTCCCTTGCTAGGCCCTCTGACCAGAAGCAGACGAGATCATCTACCAAACGATATGTTTTATATTAAATAAAGGGAAGAACTTCCCACTAAACCAAATCCATGGCCTAAGGCCAAATGGAAAGATTGCAAAATCATATTCTAAAAAACAGGAATCAGCTTCGGCTCTCCTATGTCTTGTCTGCGATATCACTTATGTGGAAGCAGACGTTAAACACCAAGAACGAACGAACGACTAAAAAGGGGTTTTACGTGTACACATTGGCGTGCATGTAAGATATGCTATCCCTTGGCAGTTGGAATTCGATATAAGAGTAGACCATTGCGCCGCTGTCCTGGCAAAATTTTCCCCTTAGTACACTAAAGGTGTGTGCCAGTCTTTATTAACCCAGTCGTAGCAGAAAACGACTCCAGCCTAAAATGTTGCGGTTTCGAATCTTCTAACAGTCTACTAACAGCTTTCCCGGTGTACATGTACCGTTTCAAAATTTTATTTAAACCGAAACACATTAGAAGTAGTACTGACCCTAACCCAACCCACCCCACAATAAAATAAAATATAACCCCTAAAACAACAACAAAGCCAAAAAGTAAATAAACAGCGTGAGACTTATGCATCACTTGCGTGTGCGTGTTCGGCTCCGTAAAAGATCGCAGACTAGCCGTACATACTTTTGGTCCTGCACATACAAAAATATCTGCCAGCTACCAAACCCCACGACCCGTGCGTGTCAAAACACATACGGTGGGGAGTGAAATGAAATGAAATGGGTTTAGCGTCCAAATCATCAGCACCTATACTGGGCATACACCATACAGTGTACACGGGACCTCGGTTTTTCGTATCATCCAAAGGACTAGACAGCTGTCGTTATCAGGCCCTCCGTTCTCCCCACTGACAAGGGGAAACCCCGTCGGAAAATCTCGATGAACTTTCTCGGCCAATGCAGACCTCCAGGCTAGCGAGCCAGCGTCTTAACCACCTAGCCACCGTGGGTCCCGGTGAGGTGTGAGCTAGCCTTTACATGGCGGTCGCGTGATCGATGACGGTGTTTGTCGAGAACGTTCATCGGGTTTTCCCCCGTGGTTCACACTCGTCAGTGATGCAGGACAGAGGGTCTGATAAGGGACAATGTATAGCCGTTCCGATGGTACCCCCCCCCCCGAAAAAAATAACGTGCACTTAAAAGACCCCCTTGGTAGTCGGAATTCGATTTAAAAGTAGTTCGTAACGCTACTGTCCGGGCAATATTCCCCACACAGCACACTGCATGACCTGTGTCTGTCTTCATTAGCCCAGTCGGTGCAGAACAGTAGGACGTTAAATCCCATTTCATTTGATTTCATGTTATAACTGTATATAATGTTCGTGTATATTATTAACAGCGTGTTTACCTGTAAAATACACCTGTATAATCTACCTGTATAATTAAAACTTACTGGACCTTATCTCTATTTTTAGACTATAACAGGTAGCATGTGGTAGGATGTAGTGTTACATGGTATAAGGAATGTATGACAAAGAAATAAAATGAAACAAAATGAGGAGTTTGCGACGCCGTACAAATCACCATCAACCTTGTTAATGATAACGGACATGCGATAAATGAGGGATATTGTGTCTAGACAACTGCGTTTCCGGCTTCTTTTCATCGAATTACAACTGTCTAGGGTTCTTTAACGTCCACGCCAACGTTTATAATGGACCTTGGTTTTCCGCCCCATTAGAATGACTGGACGCCGCTGCTTTTTGGCAGGACATCATCTATACTGCACCGTTGGCAAGGGAAACCAGTCATGGCAATCTTTAGGAACTTTCTCGCACAACACCAGGATCGAACCTGACAACTCCTGGTTACTGGGTCAGTTTGATGACTCACTAATCCATCGTAGGTGTCACGTGGGAGAATGTATAATGAATTAAAAATGCATTATGTAAGAGCTAAATCTGCCAATTGCAGGTCTTTCTTTAGGCCTGAAATGTTATATAAACTATTAATTAGACATTAATTAACTTATCCAGACCATAATCAACTCTCGATGTCATCGCTAGCCTGTGCTATTTACTTTCGGCAGTAAATGTTATATAACTTATTAATAAGACATGTATTATCAACTCTCGATGCCATCGGATGCTCTAGATTTTCCACAGATTTAAATATGACTGACAGTTGATGATTTAATTCAAAAATGGATAATCGAAGCTTTGCTTTATTATCGTAACAATGGTAGAAATGACATTCGTGACGATAACTCCCCTCAGAATGAAGTAATTTGACATAAATTCTCCAGATATTTCCCTTTCGTTATCTATTTTTAACTATTGTAAAGAGAAAAAGAGAGAAAGGGAGTGAGAGAGAGAGAGAGAAGGAGAAAGAGAGAGAGAGAGAGAGAGATGGGATTTAACGCCCACTCGACACAAACTAGGTCATTTCGGGACTATATTGTAAAGGTGACTCTATATCTAAATCTTACGTAAGACATCTTTAAGAATGTAGTTCTCCGATTTCACGTAAACACGATGTAAGGATCCGTGTTCACAAAAAAACTATTAGGGAAATCCCCTTAGATGACAATTGATACTATTTTCTGACATATACATTAAAGGGATATGCATACTTTAATGTGGTCGTCTTCACACAAAAATAACGTTTAATTATTTGAAACCTAATTAAACTTTATTTTTGTGGGAAGACGACCCCATTAAAGTGTACATATCCCTTTAATATATATATATGTCGGAAAATAGTATCAATTGTCATCTAAGGGGGTTTCCCTATTAGTTGTCTTCATTAGCCCAGGTTAGCAGCAGAACAGTGGGACGTTAAACTCCATTTCATTTCATTTATTTGAAACCTACTTCCGCTAGGAACTGACAAAAAAAATTCATATACACAGAACGAAGTCCAATTACCGTTTATTATTGAGAGACCTTTTGACTAGTCTTAAATATACATTTTTCAAGGGCTAAATTTGACTATAACAGATCTTTCTTTAGGACTGAAATGTTATCTAAATTATTAATTAGTCATTAATTAACTTATCCTGACTATACTCAACTTCCGTTACCATTATTAGCTTGCGATATGCAGCCACCCGATACACGTTGTTTACCAACGTTAGTAATGGCGATCGAGGCTAGCCTAAAATCGAGGTTCAGTATATTCTGTTTTCATTAGCTTTTTATTTGTTACCTATTATAGCAAGAACTGTCAGCTCTTTATCTGAAATGAAATGAAATGGGGTTTAACGTCCTATTATTTGCCCCGAACTGGGCTAATGACGACGGGCATACACCATACAGTGTGCTATGAGGGAAATTTTGCCCGGCCAGCGGCACTACGGCCTACTCTTATATCGAATTCCAACTGTCAAAGGATCTTTTACGTACATGTCAATGTGTTTCGTCCTTGTCAGGACCTCCGTCCTGCATCACTGACAAGAGGGAACCACGCCAGAAAATCTGGATGAACTTTCTCGGCCAATACAGTGATCGAACACCCGACCTCCAGGCTAGCGAGCCAGCGTGTTACCCATTTAGCCACCGTGACCCCAGTTCTTTATCTAATCTTACATAATACTCTTTCATTACTGTTTGTACTTGAAGCCTGGCCAAACAGTCTGTCAATTACACACAGTAATGGTAGTCTAACGAACTGTGTTTTTCGAGTTCTATTACTAAATGACATTAAAACAATCAGTCAAAAAGGTGCTGCACTGGCCAAAATATACCCAACAATCGTTATTCTGGTATTATCACTTTGTGGTTTCCCCAACACGTCGACCGATATAGGTCTACAACCTATCGCATTAGATTCTGAGCAAACTTTGAGGTACACCTTTCGATCCATAGCCGTGGCTCCATAAATCATTTCCAGGTGATATACTCCCTTGAAATACTTATTCCTCTTGGATTCCAAAGGCTTGATAAAGTCCTGCAACTGTAT